TGGTGCCAGGAATCAGAGCGGAGAGTGTTTTTGGTGCCACCCAAGGAAGCAAAATTGAGTCGCATCGAGTTTAGTTACACGGCCAACACTGGGGGCGGGTGAACGACTTCACGAGGGCCCTCTCGCTTCGCGTGGCTATCGCCGACGCCAGCGTGATTGGCCACACCGTGCAACTGGAACGTCGAGTGGAGTCGCCTCGCGTGACACCGTCGGGGTCACGGGCAACCTCGGATGACGATAACTCTGAGTGCACAGACCCCCTGATAATGGTAATCACCCCACCGCGCCAAACCCCAGTGCGTTGAGAGGGGAGAGGTAGGGGAGTGCGTGGAGGGGAGTAGAGTGAGTTGAGAGGGGAGAGGTAGGAGAGTGCGTGGAGGGGAGTAGAGTGAGATGAGAGGGGAGAGGTAGGGGAGTGGTGTGAGATGAGAGGGGAGTGCGTGGAGGGGAGTAGAGTGAGATGAGAGGGGAGAGGTAGGAGAGAGTGCGTGGAGGAGAGGGGAGTGAGAGACGTTACTCTGCTCGTTCTGTCCCCACGGATTCTCGTTCAGTGTCCACGGCGCCCACTGTGGGGACAACGGCGTATTGCATCACAGCAACAAAACACCACTTCACTTGGAAACACGACTGCATCATTAGATTATAAGCAGGGGGTGCGAGTTGAAGCGCGTGATTTCCCGCTGTAAACACGAGAAATGTTGCCACCTTTAACGGACACGACAGGGTCACGAATTTCAGACGAGACGTAACAAACTCTTTGGTTTTTTTCGGTAAAGTCACGTAGGTAAAAAATGAAATGTAATAAATGAAAACTAAATTAAATCACAACGTTTCGGGCGCAACACAAGCGTCCTTCTTCAGGTGGGGACAACGTAGCGAAAGCACAAACGCTTAAAGTGTCTCAGAGATGGCTGTAAAGAGGGATTATAGAGTAGTCGCAGGGCATGGTGAGTGTGGGGGGCATGGTGAATGTGGGGGGCATGGTGAGTGTGGGGGGGGGCATGGTGAGTGTGGGGGGGGCATGGTGAGTGTGGGGGGCATGGTGAGTGTGGGGGGCATGGTGAGTGTGGGGGGGGCATGGTGAGTGTGGGGGGGGCATGGTGAGTGTGGGGGGCATGGTGAGTGTGGGGGCATGGTGAGTATGGAGGGGGCATGGTGAGTGTGGGGGGGGCATGGAGAGTGTGGGGGGGCATGGTGAGTGTGGGGGGGCATGGTGAGGGTGGGGGGCATGGTGAGGGTGGGGGGCATGGTGAGTGTGGGGGGGGCATGGTGAGTGTGGGGGGGGCATGGAGAGTGTGGAGGGGGCATGGTGAGTGTGGGGGGCATGGTGAGTGTGGGGGGGGAATGGTGAGTGTGGGGGGGGGCATGGTGAGTGTGGGGGGGGCATGGAGAGTGTGGGGGGGCATGGTGAGTGTGGGGGGCATGGTGAGTGTGGGGGGGAATGGTGAGTGTGGGGGGGGGGGCATGGTGAGTGTGGGGGGCATGGTGAGTGTGGGGGGGGGGGGCATGGTGAGTGTGGGGGGCATGGTGAGTGTGGGGGGGCATGGTGAGTGTGGGGGGGGCATGGTGAGTGTGGGGGGGGGGGGGTATTGTGAGTGTGGGGGGAGGCATGGTGAGTGTGGGGGGGCATGGTGAGTGTGGGGGGCATGGTGAGTGTGGGAGGAGGAGAAGTTGCAAAACCAAGGGTGCACTGGGAGGCAAACGACTGTAGCCGAGACTGAGGCTTTGTGATGTCGATGGCGGAAGTAGATAAGCAAGCGAGGATTAAGCCGCATTTTGTTATGCTGCCGGGTGGGTAAGTTGGAGATGTGCAAGCTAAAACACAACTTGTGGTACACACTACCCTGGCGATGGTAGTGTGTAAAACTGGGGGTAACAGACTGGGAATATGGGTATGTTTATGAAAATACATCTAAACCGGCTGTCTAGCAGTAAACTGCCCGGTAGCTAAAGTAACAAAGAGCGCATGTGGAACAAGAGCACGTGTGGAACAAGAACACGTGTGGAACAAGAGCGCGTGAGGAACAAGAGCACGTGTGGAACAAGAGCGCGTGTGGAACAAGAGCACGTGTGGAACAAGAGCACGTGTGGAACAAAGAGCGCGTGTGGAACAAAGAGCGCGTGTGGAACAAGAGCGCGTGTGGAACAAGAGCGCGTGTGGAACAAGAGCGCGTGTGGAACAAGAGCATGTGTGGAACAAGAGCGCGTGTGGAACAAGAGCACGTGTGGAACAAGAGCGCGTGTGGAACAAGAGCGCGTGTGGAACAAGAGCGCGTGTGGAACAAGAGCGCGTGTGGAACAAGAGCGCGTGTGGAACAAGAGCGCGTGTGGAACAAGAGCGCGTGTGGAACAAGAGCGCGTGTGGAACAAGAGCGCGTGTGGAACAAGAGCGCGTGTGGAACAAGAGCGCGTGTGGAACAAGAGCGCGTGTGGAACAAAGAGCGCGTGTGGAACAAAGAGCGCGTGTGGAACAAGAGCGCGTGTGGAACAAGAGCATGTGGAACAAAAGCACGTGGAACAAGAGCGCGTGTGGAACAAAGAGCACGGCCACGTGCACATTATGCAAGGAGGACATCATGAGCATCACGTCGTGAGGAAGTGCATTGTGGGCCCTTCTTGTCTTAGGTCACCATCAATGTTGAGCAAATGTGACTCAGCAGCAGCAGTGATGCAGTGTGGGGCGCCACGGTGGCTAGGAGATGTTAACTACCTCGCCTGATGTGCAGGAGGTTATTCACTTCACATTTTCAGATTTGACGAGAGCAGTGGTTTCACTTTTTAAGTCTCCACTTCATGATGAGGTTTAAACTACTCTGAAGTGCAAACCGTGGGTCTCATATCCCGCTCATTAAAACCTCCCTCCCTTGCTTCCAATCGTGGGCGGGAGATCGATGCCAGGAGACCCGGGAGGGTTGCCAAACCCCTGCCAGCATCCCCGCCGATGCACTCTGCGCGTCCCATCAACCCTCGCCGCCTCGTCACCTTGTGACGTGAAGGTGGCCGGGTGCTGCTGCTGCTGCTGATGATGATGATGAGGTGGAGTGGGTGGCCAGATCCTAGAGAGTAACTGGGCGTCGTGGTGGCTATGAGATGTTAACCACCTCGCTTGGTATACAGGAGGTCGTGGGTCGATCCCGACCCTGACACCTGCTGCTGTATATTTGGAGTTTGCGCCTCTCTCTCTCTCTGTCTCTACTCCTGGTCACGTGGATTTTTCTCCGGGTCCACCGGTGTTTCCGTCCACAGTTAGAATCAACATCAGCACGCGTTTAGACTATTTGACTGCTGCTATAAATGTCCACGTGATAAGCCACTAAGTTGAGCTGTCATTTGTGGCAGCCAGGTCGCTTCTGAAATAGAACGATACAGCTCAGTGGGCCTTACCTGCTAATATACAACATAGTTTAACCACTCACACACCTCACCAATATCCTCACCACTCCTCACCACTCACACCTCACCACCCCCACACCTCACCACTCACACCTCACTACTCACAAACCTCACTACTCACAAACCTCACCACTCCCACACCTCACCACTCACACAACTCACCACTCGCACACCTCACCACTCACACACCTCACCACTCCTCACCACTCACACACCTCACCACTCCTTACACCTCACACACCTCACCACTCACACACCTCACCACTCACACACCTCACCACTCACACACCTCACCACTCCTCACCACTCACCACTCCTCACCACTCCCACACCTCACCACTCACACCTCACCACTCACACACCTCACCACTCGCACACCTCACCACTCACACACCTCACCACTCCTCACCACTCACACACCTCACCACTCCTCACCACTCACACACCTCACCACTCCTCACCACTCACCACTCCTCACACCTCACCACTCACACACCTCACCACTCACACACCTCACCACTCCTCACACCTCACCACTCACACACCTCACCACTCACACACCTCACCACTCACACACACCTCACCATTCACCACTCCCACACCTCACCACTCACACCTCACCACTCCTCACCACTCACACACCTCACACACCTCACCACTCACACCTCACCACTCACACACCTCACCACTCGCACACCTCACCACTCACACACCTCACACACCTCACCACTCACACCTCACCACTCACACACCTCACCACTCCTCACCACTCACACACCTCACCACTCCTTACACCTCACACACCTCACCACTCACACACCTCACCACTCACACACCTCACCACTCACACACCTCACCACTCCTCACCACTCACCACTCCTCACACCTCACCACTCACACACCTCACCACTCACACACCTCACCACTCCTCACACCTCACCACTCACACACCTCACCACTCACACACCTCACCACTCACAAACCTCACCATTCACCACTCCCACACCTCACCACTCACACCTCACCACTCACACACCTCACCACTCACACCTCACCACTCCTCACCACTCACACACCTCACACACCTCACCACTCACACCTCACCACTCCCACACCTCACCACTCACAGACGACCTCTCTAACGCTACTGCGTCGATTTCATGCGAAGCTCTCCCATGCGTTTTCGGGTCGTGGCACGTGTTTGCTTGACACGATGTCCGACGTTTTGCCCCACCACTCAGCGCGTGCAGCCAAATGTTGGATGTCTGGCCAAACAACGCGCAGCACAAGCTGACCACAGCTGGCAGCTATCCCAGTAGACATGGAACGTTGACGCAAACGTTGGACCAACGTTTGTTCAACGATTCCACCCACTTTGCGCTAACGTGGGCCCAACGGTTTCACCCACGTGCCAACGTTGCCTCAACATTGCCTCAACGTTGGCGTGTTTACCGGGGGGGAGGGGGGGTATCGCTGCGGGCGAATGACGAGACTCCCCCCCCCCCCCCCCAGAGTATCTGTAATCAGAGGCAGGGGTGGGCAGAGAGCGCAGTGGGGGGTGGGGCGTTCGACGATTCGGAGCGGATGCCCGCCACGATGTTTAATGATTGAACCGCTGGCTGGACGCTGCGTGTGGCAATGTTGACTTTGACTGCGGTGGGAGGGTTCAGAAGCGTTCCTTGGGGTTCCGGGAAGGCCCCTTGATTCGGAAAGGATATGCAGGAGGGGCCATCAAGAGGAGTATTATAATTCTGTTTAAACATGTGCACATATAAAGGGAGAGCTGTGATAGGTGTCTGCAGAGAGCTGCCCGGTACATCTGGGACCGAAGCTTCGCTGGAGGTGGCCCCGGCAAGAGAGAGGGGGAGACACCTTGGGCCAAAGTAAGTTCCGCGCACCTCCGATTAGCACGGTTGGCTACGTACGGTGCCAAAGAAGTTCAAGGTGCGTACATGTTGAGAGAGACGTCTGCTGTATGCATGTTTTTGTTGAACCTTGTTCGCACCGTACGTAGCCAACCGCGCTAATCGGAGGTGCTGTGCGTGTCTGCTTCGTGTGGACTGGAAGGATTATTGAATGTAGGATGAGAAAATAGATAAGCAGGCAATCCGGTACACGTGGGACGTCGGACCAATGTTTACTCAACGTTGGTTCCATGGACATGCCATTAGCCAAACGTTTCTTGCTTATATATCCTTCATATATCATTAAACAATTCTTACACAATCCATCAGCCGCATGGCCTTCTGGGAGTGCCTATGTTGAAAAGCATTGATTCAAGACGAGCAAACTCTGAGCCGGTTTTGACACACGGCGTCTCATCAGCAGTCGGGTTTTCTTGCTGGTTACCTGCCGATCTACCAGGCAAGGACCTTGTCTTTAATTGGGGCGCCACTGTGGTGAGACGGTAACTACCTCGCCTCGTATACAGGAGGGCATGGGTTCGATCCCGACCATGATGCCTGCTGCTGTATATTTGGAGTTTGTGTGTCTCTCTCCCAGTGGTCGCGTGTATTTTTCGCCGGGTCCTCCGGGTTCTTTTCTCCGCATTTAGTAACACGCGTTTCGAGCATTTGGCTGCTATAAAGTTCCACGCGAACATAAGCCACTTCGCTGAGCTATCATTTGTGATAGCCAGGTCGATTATTTTACGAGAGCTATACAGCTCAGTGGGCCTTTACCTGGTCAAATAAAAAATAGTTCAGTAAATTAATTTCGGTATTCACTAGGACCCTCAAATGATACTGGTAGGATGATTGATAAGAGCAAGGTAATGAGGAGCCTCAAGAATAACGTTTTAAATCGACGCTAATGGGTCAGAACTACGGTCGTTAACAAATGCAACATGAAACAATACTTAAAGGTACGCAGCCTGAATAGACGCGTTTTGTGGAGTTGGTGACAAGAGGAACGCGTGGACTTCAGACCTGTCCATGAATTGGCCGAGAAATACCTTCATACACAGAGGACTGCAGAGCTTGGGACGTGGCTGTTACTGTTGCGCCAGCTCTCTGCCTGGCTGCTGTTACCATCCGGGTGAGATCTGTGCTTCCTTCAGCCATTGTGAGATGCAGTGTGCATGATCGGTGACGCTACTAGTGAAACTAAAACATTATGTTAGAGACTTACATAAGAGACTCGTAGACATCCATATACATCAAATGGAGACCCACAGAGACTCGCAGAGATGCATAGAGACTTGTAGCTATCCATAGAAATCCATTAGGAACCCATGGAGCCTCATGGAGACCCAGATATGTGCTCAGAGATTTATAGATATATACAGAGTATCATACTAAACTAATTTAAAATAAAATAAATCGTGACTTTACCGAAAGAGCCAAAGAGTATGGATTCCAGCAGTCACGACAGCTTCAAATCAAGATTAAACTAATTTATTTTGCCAGGTGTAAGAACCACTTACCTATGTATCTCTTTTTCAGAAGCGACCTGGCCACAAAGGATAGCTCAACAAAGCGGCTTATCACGTGTAAATTTATAGCAGCTAAATACTCTAAATGCTTGTTTACAAATGTGGAGGGAAAAAATCCATGCGACCACAGGGAGAGTGAGAACACGCAAACTCCAAATATACAGCAGCAGGCATCACCAGGGTCGGGATCGAGCGCACGACCTCCTGTATACCGGGCGAGGTAGTTAACATCTCCTAACCACCGTGGCACCCCAAACACGTATCGAACCCCAGGGACCGATAGAGAGGAGCCATGGTATCAACACACTACTTGGCCGATGACGCCTTCATAAACAGATGACTGCAGAGCTTGGAGGGGGATTTGCCGCTGGATGATCGCTTGACTACTGCTGCTGCCTAAGTGAACATTCTCAGTCTGTCTAAGTGAACATTCTCATTCAGTCTAAGTGAACATTCTCATTCAGTCTAAGTGAACATTCTCATTCAGTCTAAGTGAACATTCACAGTCAGTCTAAGTGAACATTCTCAGTCAGTCTAAGTGAACATTCTCAGTCTGTCTAAGTGAACATTCTCAGTCTGTCTAAGTGAACATTCTCAGTCTGTGTAAGTGAACATTCTCAGTCTGTCTAAGTGAACATTCTCAGTCTGTGTAAGTGAACATTCTCAGTCAGTCTAAGTGAACATTCTCAGTCTGTCTAAGTGAACATTCTCAGTCTGTCTAAGTGAACATTCTCATTATGTCTAAGTGAACATTCTCAGTCTGTCTAAGTGAACATTCTCAGTCTGTCTAAGTGAACATTCTCAGTCTGTCTAAGTTAACATTTTCAGTCTGTCTAAGTGAACATTCTCAGTCTGTCTAAGTGAACATTCTCAGTCTGTCTAAGTGAACATTCTCAGTCTGTCTAAGTGAACATTCTCAGTCTGTGTAAGTGAACATTCTCAGTCAGTCTAAGTGAACATTCTCAGTCTGTCTAAGTGAACATTCTCAGTCAGTCTAAGTGAACATTCTCAGTCTGTCTAAGTGAACATTCTCAGTCTGTCTAAGTGAACATTCTCAGTCTGTCGAAGTGAACATTATCAGTCTGTCTAAGTGAACATTCTCAGTCTGTCTAAGTGAACATTCTAAGTCTAAGTGAACATTCTCAGTCAGTCTAAGTGAACATTCTCAATCTGTCTAAGTGAACATTCTCAGTCTGTCTAAGTGAACATTCTCAGTCTAAGTGAACATTCTCAGTCTGTATAAGTGAACATTCTCAGTCTGTCTAAGTGAACATTCTCAGTCAGTCTAAGTGAACATTCTCAGTCTGTCTAAGTGAACATTCTCAGTCTGTCTAAGTGAACATTCTCAGTCTGTCTAAGTGAACATTCACAGTCAGTCTAAGTGAACATTCTCAGTCTGTCTAAGTGAACATTTTCAGTCTGTCTAAGTGAACATTCTCACTCTGTCTAAGTGAACATTCTCAGTCTGTGTAAGTGAACATTCTCAGTCTAAGTGAACATTCTCAGTCTGTCTAAGTGAACATTCTCAGTCTTTCTAAGTGAACATTCTCAGTCTGTCTAAGTGAACATTCTCAGTCTGTCTAAGTGAACATTCTCAGTCTGTCTAAGTGAACATTCTCAGTCTGTCTAAGTGAACATTCTCAGTCTGTCTAAGTGAACATTCTCAGTCTTTCTAAGTGAACATTCTCAGTCTGTCTAAGTGAACATTCTCAGTCTGTCTAAGTGAACATTCTCAGTCTGTCTAAGTGAACATTCTCAGTCTGTCTAAGTGAACATTCTCAGTCTGTCTAAGTGAACATTCTCAGTCTAAGTGAACATTCTCAGTCTGTCTAAGTGAACATTCTCAGTCTGTAGTAGCTCCTCGCTCACCTCTTTCTCTTGCTCTACGAGTGATTCCGTACTGCGAGGTGCAGCGGTTAGCGCTACGCTGCGCTATGAACCTTGCCACCCGAGTTCGATTTCCGCTCACGGCCAACACCAGTGACGATTATCTGAACCGTTCTTGAGCCTCCCCTAGGTCGACTCGGCCTCAAATGAGTACCTGGTGCGGTGTGTAGTAAACATGCCAATGGGGAGACAAAGGCGGTCGGGCGTGGTGCTGACCACCCCCTCGTGTGGCGTTTCAACCTTCATAGGTGCTCGCTAACAGCTTGTACACAACTTCTTTCGCACCGTACGTAGCTAATCGTGCCAATCGGAGGTGCAGGGGAAAGACAACAAACTAAACACACAACAAGCAGTTCTAGAGAAATGACTCGCCCCAACAACTTGCCCCGACAGTCTGCCAAGGCTGTGTGTTGGTGCGTTTGTGGTGGCTGTGTGGTGATGGTGGTGTCTGTGTGTGTGTGTGGTGTCTGTGTGTGGTGGTGGCTGTGTGTGTGGTGGTGGCTGTGTATTGTGGTGGTGTCTGTGTGTTGATGGTGGTGGCTGTTGTGTTGATGGTGGTGTCTGTGTGTGTGTGTGGTGGTGGTGTCTGTCTGTGTGTGGTGGTGGTGTCTGTGTGTGTGTGGTGGTGTCTGTGTGTGGTGGTGGTGGTGATGTCTGTGTGTGTGGTGGTGGCTGTGTGTGGTGGTGGCTGTGTATTGTGGTGGTGTCTGTGTGTTGATGGTGGTGGCTGTTGTGCTGATGGTGGTGTCTGTGTGTGTGTGTGTTGGTGGTGGTGTCTGTCTGTGTGTGGTGGTGGTGTCTGTCTGTCTGTGTGTGGTGGTGGTGGTGTCTGTCTGTGTGTGGTGGTGGTGTCTGTTTGTGTGTGGTGGTGTCTGTGTGTTGATGGTGGTGTGTGTGTGTGTGGTGGTGTCTGTGTGTTGTGGTTGTGTACCCGTGTCTCCCTCTCAGACCTCGGTTTGCCCACGTAGACAGATAACGGATAACGGCGACTCCGATAACAGAGAGGTCAGTCCTCGCTTACACAGCAGAATGGTCACCCGCCCGTGTGTGTTTATTCGCGTCTCTCATCCCATCTTATCTCTCTGGTCCCACTTTTTGTTTTAGAAATAAGCACCACTACTCAAAACGTCACCGATTATAAACTTTATCCGAGGCCACACACACTGTGTGTTATTGACAAAAGTGTTGAGTTTGTTGCGTGCTGTTTTGTGGTGTGTTGTTTCTGTTGTTTGTGTTTTCTGGATGACATCTCCGTGGAGTGTTAAGAGACGGGAAGAGTGAGCACAGAATCAGAATCTTTATTTATCCTGGAGGATGTTCAGTAAGGGACGGGTCAGCAAGTCACAACAACAAACAATACAACAACATCTTATTTGGTTATTTCGGTAAAGTCACGTAGAATGAGAATAAAATAATAAATTGATAAAATAAATTAACACAATAATATTCTCACGACGTTTCGGCCACAACACAAGCGGCCTTCATCAGGTGAAGGGACGAGACTGTCTGGTAGGACAGCGCTGGAGTGAAAGAGCCACGTTCAGATCACGGCCTTTAAGCTGTGTGAGAGGAACAAAGCGCCCTCAACTTCAGCACCACGGATAGCTACGGGCCCCGTTCAGACGGACGAGTTCGTCCATGGTCGGAACAGAGGAGGGGGAGAGAGACAGCTGCGAGGCCCTAGTATACTCCATGTTGTAAAACCATACCATTAACCGTGGTGGAGTATACTAGGGCCTCGCAGCTGTCTCTCTCCCCCTCCTCTGTTCCGACCATGGACGAACTCGTCCGTCTGAACGGGGCCCGTAGCTATCCTGGTGCTGAAGTTGAGGGCGCTTTGTTCCTCTCACACAGCTTAACGGCCGTGATCTGAACGTGGCTCTTTCACTCCAGCGCTGTCCTACCAGACAGTCTCGTCCCTTCACCTGATGAAGGCCGCTTGTGTTGTGGCCGAAACGTCGTGAGAATATTATTGTGTTATTTTATTTTATCAATTTATTATTTTATTCTCATTCTACGTGACTTTACCGAAAAAACCAAAGAAGATGAATCATTGCAGTCACGAAAGCTTTAAATCAATACAACAACAATAAACGATAGCAGTGTAAAATAGAGACAAGGGGAAGCAATTCACTAAACAAAAACCTTCCCGTTGCGAGCTGCCCCCCCCACCCGCGCAGCCACTGAGCCGCCACCTGGGCCAGATTGTAACGGCTGGGTGGTTCCTCGACTCGTCGGACAACGAACGTGAAAAAGACCTCGGACCCCGCCCCGCCACGCCCAGCATTACGCTGGGCGGGGCTTGCAAGGGGGTTTCCAGCATTCACAAGGTTGGATCACATGGGGGGGGGGGGGGGCTATGTTGGTGGTGGCTGTGTGGTGGTTGTGGAGCTGCGTGATACCACCGCAGGCTGCGTCTGCAAAATATAGCAGCTCCCTGCCTTCGTCATCACGGTCACCCTGCACCATAAGAATGATAACGCCGATACTAAATGTATTAACTAATAATAAATAACAACTATTTAAACTAAACTATTATTTTTACCAGTTAAGGCCCACTGAGCTACATAGCTATTTTTCAGAAGCAGCTTGGCCACTAATGATAGCTCAATGAAGCGGCTTATCATGTGGACATTTATAGCAGCCAAATACTCTGACACGCATGTTTCTAACAGTGCAGGGAAAAACGGAAGACCTGGAGAAAGATCGACGCGACCAGGGGACGATAGACACCGCAAACTCCAAATATACAGCAGCAGCAGCAGCAGGCGTCAGGGTCCGTATGGAACCCACGACCTCCTGTATAGCTGGCGAGATAGTTAACATCTCCTAGCCACCGTGGTGATGATGATGAGAGACACCGCAAACTCCAAATATACAGCAGCAGCAGCAGCAGGCGTCAGGGTCCGTATGGAACCCACGACCTCCTGTATAGCTGGCGAGATAGTTAACATCTCCTAGCCACCGTGGTGATGATGATGAGAGACACCGCAAACTCCAAATATACAGCAGCAGCAGCAGCAGGCGTCAGGGTCCGTATGGAACCCACGACCTCCTGTATAGCTGGCGAGATAGTTAACATCTCCTAGCCACCGTGGTGATGATGATGAGAGACACCGCAAACTCCAAATATACAGCAGCAGCAGCAGGCGTCAGGGTCCGTATGGAACCCACGACCTCCTGTATAGCTGGCGAGATAGTTAACATCTCCTAGCCACCGTGGTGATGATGATGAGAGACACCGCAAACTCCAAATATACAGCAGCAGCAGCAGCAGGTGTCAGGGTCCGTATGGAACCCACGACCTCCTGTATAGCTGGCGAGATAGTTAACATCTCCTAGCCACCGTGGTGATGATGATGAGAGACACCGCAAACTCCAAATATACAGCAGCAGCAGCAGGCGTCAGGGTCCGTATGGAACCCACGACCTCCTGTATAGCTGGCGAGATAGTTAACATCTCCTAGCCACCGTGGTGATGATGATGAGAGACACCGCAAACTCCAAATATACAGCAGCAGCAGCAGGCGTCAGGGTCCGTATGGAACCCACGACCTCCTGTATAGCAGGCGAGATAGTTAACATCTCCTAGCCACCGTGGTGCCCCCCCCAATTATGTTCTGTAACGCCGCGATCTCTCTCTGTCTGCACGTGACCCTCTCAGCTGCTCCGGTGAGCATGCGTCCGCTTCAATGGCTCGCGGTCGCCTGCTGCTGGTGCTCCACGTGGGCGCCGGCCGCTCCCGCCGTCGTCAGGACTCACTTCATCGCGATCCGCGAGATCGACTGGGACTACGCGCCCGCACGTCGCAACCTCATCGCTGACGTGAGCGTGGACGACGACGAGTGAGTGCCGGAGCCGGCGGCGTGCCAAACCGCGCCGCGTCGGCCCGCGTTCCGCCGATTCGCTCCATGGGCTGTTCCGCGCCGCACGCGCCTGATGATTAATAAACACGTCCCAACGCGACGCGCTCAGCGATTGACAACCCCCCACCCCACTTACTCACCCACTTACTCACCGACTTACTCACTTACCCACTTACTCACCCACTTACTCACCCACTTACTCACCCACTTACTCACCCACTTACTCACCCACTTACTCACTTACTCACCCACTTACTCACCCACTCAGCTCACCCACTCAGCTCACCCACTCACCCACTTACCCACCCACTCAACTCACTCACCCACTCACTCAACCACTTTTCAACTCACTCACCCACCCGGTCACCCACGTACTCGCCCACAAACTAACTCGCTCAAACACTCGCCCAACTCTCCGCTCACTCACCCACTCACCCACTTACTCACCTACTACTCCTTCACTCATCCGCCCACTAACTCGCCCACCTCTCTCCTCCCGGCGCCGCGTGCGCGTCCAGGCACGCCGGCACGTTCGTGCGACGGGGCCCTCAGCGCGTGGGCACCGTGTACACCAAGGCCGTGTACGAGGAATACGCGGACGCCGGCTACTCGCTGGCCCTGCCCAAGGAGCCGTGGCTCGGCTTCCTGGGGCCCGTGCTGCGCGCCGAGGTGGGCGACACCGTCGTCGTCCACCTCAGGAACTTGGCGTCGCGCCCCTACACCATCCACTCGCACGGCCTGCACTACGACAAGGGCAGCGAGGGTGAGCGGGGAGAGTGGGGGCGAGGGGGGTTGGGGGGGGGCACTGCGAGAGAGAGAAGCGGACATCGAGAGTCCTGCAGCATCGGGTTGGAGTTCCCGTCGGTGACCTGTGGGTGACCTTTGGGAGACTTGTGGGTCACCTATGGGTGACCTGTGGGCGACCTGTAAAGCGGGTTGGTTGTTGCTCGCCGAATCGTTTCGACGCCTCCCTCGCTCCTCCCACTCCCCCACCCCCCCGCCAGGAGCCCCCTACCCCGACCACACGGAGCGCCAGCAGAAGGCGGACGACGCGGTGGCTCCGGGCGAGAGCCGCGAGTACACGTGGAGGCTCAAGCCCGAGTACGGCCCCATGGAGGCCGACCCGGCCTGCATCACGTGGACGTACCACTCGCACGTGGACGCACCTAGGGACATCGCCGCGGGGCTCATCGGCCCGCTGCTCGCTTGCAAGAAAGGTGCGGCCCCCCCGGCTGCCCGGGACCCCCCCACAATCCACCCCCCACGCGGGACGGCGGGGGGGGAGGTGACGTTGACAAAATAAAAAATCCGAGTTGGAACTCGTTGTAGCGCTGGTGGCGTCGTCCATCGTGGGGCGATATTATTTTCAACGGTCTCGAAGCCACAGTGCGCTAAGCAGTGCACCACCACTCGGAGAAAGAAACCAACAAGGGTGTGCGTGGAGGGGAAAGTAGAGTGAGATGAAGAGGGGAGTGTGGCGGGGAGAGTGGAGGTGAGGTGAGATGAGAGAGGGAGAGTCCACGGAGGATGTTGAAGAGGGGAGTGTGGCGGGGAGAGCGGAGGTGAGGTGAGATGAGAGAGGGAGAGTCCACGGAGGATGTTGAAGAGGGGAGTGTGGCGGGGAGAGCGGAGGTGAGGTGAGATGAGAGAGGGAGAGTCCACGGAGGATGTTGAAGAGGGGAGTGTGGCGGGGAGAGTGGAGGTGAGATGAGAGAGGGAGAGTCCACGGAGGATGTTGAAGACGGTAAGTGCGATCCTGAAATGGATCTGGGATTGGCCGAGGCTCTGTCTCCCTCGGGGGTGTGGTGGGGATGGTCTGGCCCCCAGCGAGCGGATTGCCTCGCGTGCATCCCCGCAGGTTCTCTGGACGAGCACGGGAACCCCCAAGACCCGGACCGAGCGTTCTTCCTCCTCTTCTCCGTGATGGACGAGAACCTGAGCTGGTACCTGCAGAGGAACGTGGAGCGCTTCTGCGAGCAGCCGGCCACCGTGGACGTCAACGACGAGGACTTCGTGGAGAGCAACAAGATGCACGGTGCGACGCCGCGTGGACGCGGCCGCGTCGCCTGGGGGACAAGGGGCGCCACGGTGGCTAGGAGATGTTAACTACCTCGCCTGGTATACAGGAGGTCGTGGGTTCGATCCCGACTTTTACCCCGGGTCCTCCGGTTTTTCCTTCCATATTTGGCATCAATGTTCTTTCGGAGTATCTCGCTGCTGCTATAAATGTTCATGCGATTGACAGCCACTTGGTTGAGCCATCACGAAAGCAGCAAAATAGCTCCGTGATGAGGTGTAAATCCAGGTTTCCCCCGCCCACCTCTTAATCATCATAGGTATGTATTTTGAACTTCTTTCACACTGTACGTGGGCCAACCGTGGCTAGGGGGAAGGACAACAAGCTAAGCACGAAAAGCATTTTTTTTGGGCTCGTCGATCATGAACCCGAGGGGGGCCTCACCCCCCCCCCCAACCGCCCCCCGGCAGCCATCAACGGCTACGTGTACGGCAACGCGCCGCGGCTGGAGCTGTGCGCCGGCGAGCGCGTCTGGTGGCACCTCGTGGCGATGGGCAACGAGGCGGACGTCCACGCCGCACACTTCCTGGGCCACACGCTGGAGGAGCGCGGCCGCCGCGTCGACACCGTCGCCCTCTTCCCGGCCACCTTCCGATCGGCGCGCATGGCCCCGGCGCGCGTGGGCACCTGGCTCATCAGCTGCCAGGTCAACGACCACGTGCAAGGTGACCCCGAGGGGTTTTCCCTCCGTGGCGTCGACAACCGCGCCACTCGGAGGTTGCTGGGAAAGGATAAAAACCAAACTAAACGCAACGCAAGCGCTTCTTTAAGACTATGGTTCTAAGGAAATTGGTTTACAATTCGCCTGCGGTGGTTTGTTCGCGACCCACGCGGGAGGGAGGCGGAGACGTCGACTAAAGCGGGGCTGCCGCTGGGGGTCCCCTCGCCGGCCAGCTGCGAGCGCGATAACTTTAAACCACGGCCCCCCTCTCCCCCTTTCCCACCCTCGCGTCCCCCCAGCCGGCATGATGATGCTGTACACGGTGCGCGACTGCGGCTGGAAGCCTCCCGGCCCCGCGCAGGCGCCCGTGAGAGGCGGCGTGACGCGCACGTTCTTCGTGGCGGCGCACGAGGAGGTGTGGGACTACGCGCCGGGCGGGCGCGACCGCATCTCGGGCAAGAAGCTCGACCAGCCCGGGAGGTGAGGGGCCCGGAGCGCCGGCGGCCGCCAGGAACGCCGGCAATTGCCGCCGGCCTCCCCATGAGTGTCGCTCCCCCCCCCCCCCCCCCCCCCCCCCATCGTGTGTCCCCATACGTCTCCGTGTGTGTCACCGTGTGTCTAAATACTCGCTGTGTATCTCCATTCTCCCCGTGTCCCTGCGTGTCTGTGCGTGTTCCCGTGTGTCTTAGCGTTACACCGTGTGTGTGTGTCCATGTGTCACCGTGTGTGTGTCCATGTGTCACAGTGTGTTGTGTATTCATGTGTCACAGTGTGTGTGTGTCCATGTGTCACAGTGTGTGTGTGTGTGTCCATGTGTCACAGTGTGTGTGTGTGTCCATGTGTCACAGTGTGTTGTGTATTCATGTGTCACAGTGTGTGTGTGTCCATGTGTCACAGTGTGTGTGTGTGTGTCCATGTGTCACAGTGTGTGTGTGTGTGTGTCCATGTGTCACAGTGTGTGTGTGTCCATGTGTCACAGTGTGTGTGTGTGTCCATGTGTCACCGTGTGTGTGTGTCCATGTGTCACCGTGTGTGTGTGTCTTAGCGTGACACCGTGTGTGTGTGTCCATGTGTCACCGTGTGTGTGTGTGTCCATGTGTCACCGTGTGTGTGTGTGTCCATGTGTCCCCGTGTGTGTGTCTCTGCGTGTCCCCACGTGTCTCTGCGTGTCCTCGTGTGTCCCCTAGCCCCTCGGCCGTGTTCCTAGAGCGGGGGCGGCACCGCGTGGGGAACCGCTACTGGAAGGCCCGCTACGTGGCCTACGAGGACGACGTGTTCAGTGCCGTGCGCCAGCGCAGCAAGAACGACGAGCACCTCGGCCTGCTCGGTAATGCCGCTCGTAGGGCCCCCTCACCTTGCCTCTTTATCTTCCGGGGACGCATGAACCATTTGTTTTGGTGATCTCTATCCTTTGTGTAATTGTGCGTGTGTGTATATATATATGCGCACTGTGTAATATTGCTGTACTGTACATGCGTGTATATTTTTATCTATACTTGCGTATGTTTTTTGTGAGTGTGCGGAGCAGTGGTAGCGCACTGCGCTACGAACCCGGTGACCCCAGTTCGATTCCCGTTCACGGTCAACACCGGTGATAATTATCTGAAACGGTGCCGGGGCCTTGCCTAGGTCGACTCCGCCTCAAATTAGTACCTGGTGCGGAGTGTCAACATCGCCACCGGGGAGACAAAGGCGGCCTCGCGTGCCGGGCCGGCCTTCACGGGCGCTCGCGAGCAGCACTTTCCCCGACGTTCTGTTAATGCTACACGGTGGGGGGGATCTTTGTCTGTGCGCGTGCAGGCCCAGTGCTGCGCGTGGAGGTGGGGGACGTGCTGCAGGTCGTGTTCTGGAACAACGCGAGCCGCCCGTACAGCATCCAGCCGCACGGCGTCTCCTACCTCAAGGAACACGAGGGCGCCGTGTACAGCGACGGCGTGGCTGGTGAGCCAGGGGTCGCGGGGTGAGCCAGGGGTCGCGGGGTGAGCCAGGGGTCGCAGGGTGAGCCAGGGGTCGCAGGGTGAGCCAGGGGTCGCAGGGTGAGCCAGGGGTCGCAGGGTGAGCCAGGGGTCGCAGGGTGACCCAGGGGTCGCAGGATGAGCCAGGGGTCGCAGGGTGAGCCAGGGGTCGCAGGGTGACCCAGGGGTCGCAGGATGAGCCAGGGGTCGCAGGGTGAGCCAGGGGTCGCAGGGTGGCACAGGGGTCGCAGGGTGGCACAGGGCTCAGAGATGCCCAATAGGCTCCGCTCACGAGCTGGGTTTGCAATTCTCAAAACCCCAAATTATTATTCCCAAATCTTGAGCCTCAATCTGGGGTTCGGGTACGGTGTCAAAAACACCAGGAACGCCGTATCCAAACCCCGAGTCGTGAACCCTCATTGCGAACCCCGACACCCAATTGACGGACCCCAAATCGTCAACCTCGAACCGTGACCCAAAACCAAGAACTCCAAATGGCGACCCCTCGCGTTACCCCCGTACCGTGACCCCTGCAGCGTGACCCCTGCAGCGCGACCCCTGCAGCGCAACCCCCTACCGTGCTGCCCCCCTAACCCGGAACCGCGGGCACTCGTGCAGGCGGGGAGTCGGTGGCGCCGGGCCGCCGCTTCCTGTACCGCTGGGTGGTGGGCGAGGAGTCTGGCCCAGCGGGGGGCGACCCGGACTGCGTGACGTGGCTCTACTACTCGGCGACGGACAGCGTGCGGGACACCAACTCGGGACTCGTGGGGCCCCTCATCGTGTGCCGCCCCGGCAAGCTGGGCGCGGACGGCGCGCAGGTCGGCTCCCCGGCGTGGTGGCCCCCTCCAATTGGGGGGGGCAGGGGTGGGCACGACGCAGGCAATGCTGGCGAAGTGAGACGGCGCTAGACGCAACGAGCAACGGCGCCGTCCGCTTGCGTCTGTCGAGCGTTCTGCTCTCCGCACTGCCGCTCCGTGTGCCCGCGGCGACGACTGTGGCGACGCGCGTCCAAGCGTCGCCACGGGGCGCCTGAAAATTGGAGCGGCGATGCCGCGGCAGATCGGCCGGTGATTCACAAAATTAGTTTATTTAGGGTGAGGTCGTCGCGTAGCGAATAACGCCACGTTCGACAATTGCCCTCCACCACCCGACACGGCCAGTTCAATCAAGCTGTCATGTCACGTGGGCAAATGCGCCAATTGATTTGGTTTCAGCAAACCGGAATGTTGAAAGGCGAATCATTGGTTTGCCACAATTTTTTTTCGTGAATACAGGCTCCCTTGAGCTACTAGGGACCCATACACTTGTGCTTTGTTTGCTTATGTCCCCCCCCCAACCTTCTCCCCCCCCCATTGTATTCTACATTATCATTATTATTATTGTTAATGAATTATAATTATATTCTTTGATTTTTTCGGTAAAGTCATGTACATAGAAAATAAAATTTAAAAAATTCACGTCATGATGATCGCAACACAAGCGGTCGTCATGGTGACGACTGCTTGTGTTGCGATTTAAACGTCGTGAGTTATTTTATTTTATATTTACGTGACTTTACAGAAAGAACCCAAGAATATGAATTCCTGCAGTCAAGAAAGTTTTAAGTCAGAATAATGATTAGTCTGCTGCTTAGAGTTGTGGTCTAACGTGTGTTTACCTCCTGGCCTGAACGTTCGATGCACGTTGCTCCTGTCAGTAATTCGACCGTGTCCCGTGGTCTGGCATCCTAGAGGGCAGTGCGGCAGCAAAATGCAAAGTTGAACTTCCCCCCCCCCCCCCCCCCCCCGACCCTTCCCGTGCAGCGTGGCATCGACCACGAGTTCTCGCTGCTCTTCTCCGTGTTCGACGAGAACCTGAGCTGGTACCTGGAGCGGAACATCGCCGCTTTCGCGAGCGACCCGGCGGGTGTGAACCGGGACGACGACGACTTCCAGGAGAGCAACAAGATGCACGGTGCGGCTGCCGGACACGCACGGGAACCTCCCCCTCGGTGGCGGTGCACAACCACGTTTAACCGGCCGGTGCCACGGTGGTGAGAAGTTAACCACCTCGCCTGGTATACAGGAGGCCGTGGGTTCGATCCCGACCCTGACGCCTGCTGTGTGTGTGGTGTTTGCAGTGTCTCCATCCCCGTGGTCACGTGGCGTTTTCCCCCGGGTCCTCCGGTTTTTCTCTCCACATGTAATATAATCAACATCACGCGTTCAGAGCTGCTATACCTTTCCACGTGATAAGCCACTTCTCGTTGAGCTATCATTTATGGCCAAGTCGCTTCTAAAAGAGAGTTACGTAGCAGAGTGGCCCTTACCTGGTAAAAATAAAAATAGTAAAACATTCGAGGAGGCAAGATACGTCTGCGCTGGGTGGGACGTGTGGCGCGGCATGGGGTGAAGACCGATTGGCGAGATGGGCGTCGTTGGAACGGTCTCCATGAGCCCGGCCACCAAAGGGAAGGCCTTAAGGCCAGATGGTGGGATGCTGAATCTCTGGGTCTCTGTGCGAGTCTATCCAAGAGCAAGTGGTGGGATCTTGGGGGTCGAGTGTTGACCGTGCAGCAGCTGCGGGATCTAGCGGAGCGTGGAAACCATTGGCGAGGTCACGTTGTGCAGTCTTCCGTTGCTCGGTGGACCTCGCATTCACATTCCTCACAATTTGAGTGATTGTTCTTTTGCATTGCTTAATAGCTGCCTCCACCAATCTTTCGCTCGCTCTGTCCCATCCACAGAGGTTGTCTCTCTCTCCCTTCTCCCGTCCCACTGCCCCGTACGTTCTTTCTCATCCTCTCTCGATCTTCCTCTCCCAATGGGCCCTTGAACTCTCCCTTCTCTCTCTCCATGCGCCCTTTGCTCTCTGTGTCTTTCTCACCCTCTCCTTCTCTCTATCTCCCTCTCTCTCTCTCCCTATCTCTCCTCCCCCCCCCCCCCCCACCTCCGCAGCCATCAACGGGCGCATGTACAACACCCTGCAGGGCCTCCGCATGTGCAAGGCCCAGCAAGTGTCGTGGCACCTGCTGGGCCTGGGCTCCGAGTCCGACGTCCACTCCGTCTACCTTGCGGGGAACACGATGCGCGCCTCGGGGCGCCGGCGCGACACCATCAACCTCTTCCCGCACACCTCGCTCACGGCCACGATGAGCGCCGACAAGGCCGGTGAGCCCTCCCGGTGACCCACGCACCGGCGGCAGTCTGCTAAGGCCGTCGACTGGGCTCGGGCACAGTGCCAGATCCACGGTGGGGGGCGGGGGGCAAGGGGCGATCACCTTCAACCCTCCTCCACCTTGAGAAGCCACGGTGGCTAGGAGATGTTAACTACCTCGCTTGGTATACAGGAGGTCGTGGGTTCACTCCCGACCCTGACGCCTGCTTGTTTATTTGGAGTTTATGTGTGTTCTCTCTCATCGTGGTCACGTGGATTTTTCTCCGGGTCTTCCGGTTTTCCTCTTCACATTTAGAATAAAATCGCGTGCTTCGAGTATTTGGCTACTGCTATAAATTTCCACGTGGTGATGGTAAGCGACTGCGTTTCTGACAAAGAGATAGATAGCGCAGTGGCCCTTACCTGGTGAGATAGAATAAAAATTAGTTTTATGGAGAGTTACCAAAGGAAACGAGGTAAAGTTTGGTTTTCTTTTTTTCTCGCAAAGCTTTGATGTCTCGGGACCGCCCCACACCTCCCACTGGGCTAGTTTCTCGGTCCGCCTCCGCTTGGGCCATGTCAGGGAGCATTGTTGCTGGCGACTCCGAGAGCCCTGGCGGGCCCACCTACAGCCCACGCGACAGGCCTCCGGCATCGCCCTGACAGCCGCCCCGTCCGCTTCGGTGCCCGCCACTCGAATGCTTCCGCGCGCCGCACAGCGTCGCACGATCCACGCGGACGCGAGGCGTTTCTTGCCTTGTTGCGATCGAAGAATGGCAACGATGACCACATGTCCCTGTCCTTCATCTGCTCGCATCAAACACAACCGCCGTTCGCCACTAAGTGGCGGTGACTTCACCACAGAGCTTGTGCCAGGCTAGGTGCAGTTTAAGGCCACGTGAGGTGTCGAACGCCCAGTGGCAGGAGGTCACGGGACAGACCCGGGTGTCATGGGTTGACTGACCGAGATGACCGGCCGATGCACCACCTGTGCCCCCCCGTGCCACCTTGTGTCCCGTCTCTCTCCCCACGTCTTCCCATCATTCCCCCCCCCCCCGCGTCTCTCCCCCCTCTCTTCCCCCCACCGCCACCCACGGCGCCACCCCACCCGCGCCCCCCCCCCCCAGGTGACTTTGGGGTGGTGTGCAAGACGGCGGACCACCTGTCGGCGGGCATGAAGCAGCACTACCACGTGTCGCTGTGCGATGCGCGCGTGCTGCGCCCGCCGCGCCCCACAGCGACGCGCACGCACTACGTGGCAGCCGTGGAGCTCACCTGGGACTACTCCCCCTCGCGCCACTGGGAGCTCGCGCGGCACAACACCACGCGGCAGCACAGGTGCGGCGTCACGCGCGCGGGTGTGTCGCTGCAGGTGTGTCACGACGCCATGCAGGTGTTACTTCAGGTGTGCCACGATCCCATGCAAGTGTGTATGCTGTTGCAATCTTTGCAGAGAGACGGTAAGCATTATTATCGTTATTAAGTTTGAATTCCATTTTTTCACAAGTGGGGCCTCTGGCACGCGACGATGAGCTGTCACATCCTGTGTCCGTGTATGTTGGCGTGTGTGCGTGTGTGCTTTGAGTGATGTGTTCGAATGCATGCACCTATCTGCTCATGTTGGTGTGTATGTACGTGCGTGTGTCCACGTGTTTGAGTAACTGGCGCGATGTGTAAACATCGCCACTGGGGAGACAAAGGCGGCCGGGCGTGCTGCCGGCCACCCACCCCCTCGTCGTGCAGTGCCGACCGTCATAGTCGCTGCTACTCGCTAACAACACTTATGTAGTGAGTCCAACTGAGTCGCAGACGTTATCTTGAGAGCAACACTATTTATTCCGCATTAACACGTAACGCAATACGATCTACACTCGGGTCTCGAATGCCCATCTAACCATGCTACGGCAGAACTAGACACGGTTCGCTATCCCGGTCCGGACCATGAGCCGGGTCCCGGACCGCGTGGCTAGAGGCTTCTTCTCCCCGACGAGGATCTTCTTCACACCTTCACACCAGCACACAAAGAACCCCGAGCTCCTCACGATACCCCCGGGCTGGGGCTGGCTCCGCCCTTAGCCCCGCCCACCTTCCAGGCCTCTCGAGCTCCTTCTCGAAGGTTCCCGAGAGCTCCTTTGGACCACGTGACCGCCCCACGGCCACCGTTCACCGGTGGCCACCCTCCCATATCGTCCAGTCACGTGACGGCAGGTCAACCAGCGTGTCATGCCCCAAGGTAACCCAGCGCTCACCCAAGCCCCGCTAGGGCCGGTACTACATCCCGTAACCCGGGCTGTCCAAAATGACAACACATTACCGGCCGTGGCTTCGCGAGCCCCGGCACCATACAGTCACGACACTTGTTCCAAAGTCTCTCGAGGCTGTACGTGGGATCGTCGTCGGCGTTGTTTGTTTGTCCCAGCCACGGAGAGACATTCCTGAGGGGCGGCACGGACCGCATTGGCTCTGCCTACAAGAAGGTGGTGTACCGCGAGTTCACGGACGACACGTTCACGCGCGAGAAGCCCCGCGGGGAACGGGAGAAGCACCTCGGCATTATGGGTAAGGCTGCCACCTTGCTGTGGCCAGGAAAGTAACCCGAGCAGTGGGCGGGGCCACCCGAGCAGTGGGCGGGGCCACCCGAGCAGTGGGCGGGGCCACCTGAGCAGTGGGCGGGGCTAGTGACCGAGTGGGCGTGGCTGACGGATGGTGGTAGGAGCTGCCATCTCGCCGCGTGTCCCCGTTGAGCCTCCCAGAAAGGTCACCAGTAGCGCCACGTGCGAGCGAGCGCCCGCGCGGTGTCGCGCTGCCGTGGCCCCAGCCGCGCGCGGTGACACAGCCCGCCCTGTTCCAGGCCCCATGCTGCGCGCGGAGGTGGGGGAGGCGCTGGTGGTCGTCTTCAAGAACATGGCGAGCCGTCCGTACAACATGCACGCTCACGGCGTGGACGAGGGCCTGGACAGCTGCAACATCCCCCCTGTGGCTCCCGGCGAGTATCTCTCCTCCGCAGTGCCTCGCCTCCGCACAGCGCCTCTCTCTCGTCGCGATAATTTGTGTTGCGCCGCCACGCGTTGCCTTGCAGCGACCTGCTCCCGATTCTCAGTCATCTCGGCATCGGCGCTCCGGATTCGCTCCGCCTGCCGGGCGTTGTGCACAACAAAAACACGAAATACGGATTCACCATCGTCATCACCATCGATTTGCGTGAATTGTTGTTTGTATCTGCCCATGCGTGTGTATTTCGCAGTTAGTGAGGAGCGGTCGTGTAGCGGTTAGCGCGCTGCGCTATGAACCCGGCGACCCGAGTTCGATTCCCACCCACGGCCAATACCAGTGACAATTTTCTGAACCGGTCCTGTGCCTCTTCTAGGTTAACTAAGCCTCAAATGAGTACCTGGTGTGGTGTGTAAACTTCGCTACTGGGGGAGACAAAGGCGGTCCGGCACGGTTCCGTGTTGGCATTCATAGGTGTTCACTAACTCTATACAGGAATCTTTGTCTGTGTATCAGTGTGCGTGTTTTGTCCCGTGTGTGTGTGTATCTGCCCATGTTTGTGCGTGACGCCCTATGTGTGTGTGTGTGTTTGACGGCCCGTGTGTACGTGTGGGTCCGTGCGCAGGGCGTGTGGAGAAGTACAAGTGGATGGTTCCCGAGCGATCGGGCCCAGGAAAGGGAGACCCTGACTGCCTCCTCTGGGCCTACTACTCCAACGTCGACCCCAACAAGGTTGTGTTCTGTTTGCCGTGTCCTGTCTCCTATGTTCCGTCTCGTATCCATATCCTCTGTTCATCCTTTAACCAGGAGATGAAAGTAACCCACGGAGAAACATCAAACAGCCTAAGGTCACATCAACATTATACAAATTATCTGGTAGTGTATGTACGTCGAATTTCTTTCGCACCATACGTAGCCGACCACGCTAATTGGAGGTGCGGGGGAAAGGACAACAAACTAACACCAAAAAGCAGTTCTGAAGAAATTAGTTTTCAATCGAGATGATTTAAAAGTGCACAGCTCCGTTGGCTTCCTAATAATCTCAAAGTAGCTTCCTCGGATGATGCTGCTGCATTGGCGTTGGTGCTCAAGGAAAATTCACAACAACAGCGACACTCGGCAAGTTTGTAAGGAACACTTTGAACAAAATATATAGCAAGGCAACATTTTGGGAAATGGCCCTGTGCTATGAGTAAGGGGCATCGCCCACACCGTCACCTGTTACGTATTCTTTTTTTCCTTTTAGGGTGACACTGTCATTGAACTTTCGTTGGGTTTTTGTTTGGTAACGTCAAAGTCATTGTAGCTCTTAAAACATTTTCAATACGGTAAGCAAATAATGTGAAGGAAGGTGACGAGATTAATCCTAGCAGTGGCTTTTGGCTAGCCGTGGAACAAAGACGGTCACCGCATCGTGCACTTTCGGATGTGCTTCTGTGGCCATCTGGAATGCTCTTCCTTCTGATATTAGGAAGCCACTGGAGCTATGCACTTTTAAGTCATCTAGATTTAAAACTAATTTCTTAAAAATTGCTTTGTGGATTTAGTTTGTCGTCCTTCCCCCGCACCTCGGATTAGCACGGTTGGCTACGTACGGTGCGAAAGAAGTTCAACTATAGCCTAAACAGATTGTTGGGGCAAGTGCAGTTAGCGAGCACCTAATGAAGGCCGGAATGGCGCACGAGGGGGTGGGTGACCAGAACCACGCGCGACCACGTTTGTCTCCCCAGTGGCGATGTTTACACACCGCACCAGGTACCCATTTGATTTGGAGTCGACCTAGGGGGAGGCCCAGGGACCGATTCATGGTGTTGGCCGTGAACGGGAATCGAACTCGGGTCGCCGGCTTTGTGTAACCGCTACACCACCACTCCCCGCAACGTACGAAAGTACGCCCGGCGCATGCCGAGCGAACGGCCGTGTTTCCAATCGCCATTGCACCGCGTGAATCGCGTGTGTGCGCGCGTGCGTGGCGCAGGACCTGTACAGCGGCCTCTTTGGAAGCCTGCTCACGTGCCGGTCCGGCGTGCTGTCGGGCGGCGGCGGCGACGGCGCCGCGCGGCCCCGCGGGGTGGAGCGTGAGTTTGCGCTGCTCTGGATGGTGTTCGACGAGAACGAGTCGTGGTACCTGGAGGAGAACGTGCAGCGCTGCTGCGGCGGGGCGGCCATCAACTCCTCCGACGAGGACTTCAAGGAGAGCAACAAGATGCACTGTGAGACCCGTCGCTCGCCGCGGGGGTGGGGGGCACGGGGGAGGGTGTATGGAGGCGCCAGGTGCGCGAGACCTCCGATGAGCACGGTTGGCTACGTACGGTGCGAAAGAAGTTCCAGATGCACACAGACAGGAGGCTGAGCCGGCAGGGAGGGTCATTGAGAAACAAGATCCTTCATACGTACCTGTACATACGTGCACACACCCGTACATACGTGCACACACAAACATCAGGGTGCACGTTTGTGGTCGTGGTCAGCACCGTACGATGCTCTAGTGATGTCCGTCGGTCCGAGCGTACGGTCACAGTATAGAGGAACGGTGGTCTAGCGGTTGGCGTGCTGTGCTACGAACCCGGCGACCTGAGTTCGATTCCCGCTCAAGGCCACCACCAGTGACGATTATAGGAACCGCTCCTTGACCTCCCCTTAGGTCGACTCGGCCTCAAAATGAGTACCTGGCGTGGTGTGTAAACATCGCCACTGGCGAGACAAATGCGGCCGGGCGTGGTGCTGGCCTCACACCCCCTCGTGTGCTGTGCCGGCCTTAATAGGCGCTACTCGCTAACAGTACTTGCCCCAACAGTCTGTTAAGGCTACACGGGGGGATCTTTGTTCTTTGTTGTGCGCGCGCGTCTGTGGCTCGCTCCCATGCAGCCATCAACGGCTACGTGTACGGCAACCTGCCGGGGCTGACGATGCGCGAGGGCGAGCACGTCGCCTGGTACCTCCTGGGCATGGGCAACGAGGTGGACATCCACACTGTGCACTTCCACGGCCACCCCTTCACCGTGCAGGTAACGGCACCGCTCGCTCTCTCCCCCACACCACGCGCGCCGCTAACCACGGCCGCCTCCACGCAACCGTCCGCTTCTCCCGTAGAAGATCTGCCCACCCGTGGCTGGGCGTCGAGGAGGCTTCCGTGCAAGGACCCTGGGCTCGCCCCCGAGATGGCGGGCACAGCGGAAATGTGGACTCCGTCTCTCTGGGATCAGAATCAAAATCTTTATCCTGGAGAAATAGGATGAGCTCTATTGAAGCTCTTTTTCACGGATGTCCAGAAGGGGCTCATTCCTTGAGAACTGGTTTGTAATGTGGCGTTGTTCACCGTATACACATACGAATGAAGATAGAGTATCCCCCACCGTTGCACGACCGGGTTTTCTCCGGATGTTTCAGTAAAGTCAGGTAGATAGAAAATAATAGATCACAACACAAGCGACCGTCATCAGGGCTGCCAGGTAAAAACCGCCGGGCTCGCTGCCGAACACTTACCGTACATTATCATAGGCTGCTGAGATTTGGGCTAGGCCATTTTAAACCCTGATAAAGTTTCCCTTGGAAGCTAACCACCCCCACTTTTCCTGAAGACGACCGCTTGCGTTGCCATCGAAACGTCGTAGTTTTTTGTGATTTTACTTGAACCTCTCTCCGTGACTTTACCGAAAGACCCAAGAATATGAATTCCTGCAGTCACGAAAGCTTTAAGTCAAGGAATGTTTATTATTAATGTAGGGCCCTGTTTGGAAGGAAAACATATCATGCAATTTTAAGATCACCCCCCTCTCCAGCCACCCCGTTTGAAATGTTCTAGATCTGCCTCTGGCCAGAGAAATTCGGACGATGAGATGCAATGCGAGGGGATCACGGGATGGAAGCGAAGGGTCGAATTCGCCCACGTGTGCTCACCAGCGGGCTCACGAGCCGCGCGTACTGACCCGCGGCCTTGGCGTGTCTCGAGCAGGTGGGGGGCGGAACCCACCGAGCCGACGTCATGGACCTGTTCCCGGCCACGTTCGAGACGGCGCACATGAGGCCGGGCAACCCGGGCACGTGGCTCATGCACTGCCACGTGACGGACCACATCCAGGCCGGCATGGAGGCCACCTACACCGTCCTGCCACGCGGCACCGCCCCCGAGTCCAACGCGTGGATCAAGCAGCGCCGCTGAGAGGTGGCGGTGGTTTCCAGATTTCCTCCCACCCATCCCCCGTGGGTAGAATTGTGGTGATTTGGAGTCACGGTTTGAATCGTGGATCGCCATCACCGGCGCCTAGCAGGGCCACCGAGAGCTGGTGGTTGCAGCAGCAGCTAAGTCTCCCCTAACTCCACCAATCCTAGCAGTAGAATTGTGATGCTTTAATTCAAGGGGTAGCGATTTAAACCAGGAACCGAATGGCCTTACAACTAGGAAAGTATACGAAGTGAAATCGTGTGAACAATGCACGTGTGGGCGAACTTATATTTCACATTTTCATAAAAATAATTAAAAATTACAAGAAAAATTACAAATTAGACATTATGGTACCCTCAACTTGTCAAAAACAATGAAATAAATCGGTAATTTTTGTTGGCTTTGGCTCGACACACTCTTGAGACATGACCGACAGTGTGACGTGAGGTTCTAACGTTATAGCTCGGACACACGATGCTGTCCGTAGCACACCGTGCTCTGACGTCGTACAAACACTCATACTGCGTTGCCCAACTGTGATGTTACATCACACATCACACTGGCGTTGCCAGACATTGCCTCCACTACCACTACGCAAAACCTGGACCGATCTACCATTAATTTTCAATTTACTTTCTATCAACAACAGTGCCTTTTGTTAATATAACGTGCACAACTCAAAGACAATACATAAAAGACTGAAACAAGCCCAAAGGTTATTTTGTCTAATCTCAAACTTTATTTTTCAAAAACTGTAAAACGAGAAACACTACAATACATAATTATTTTGAAATATTAAAACATTGCAAACTCCAGTGCGCATAAGCTACCGTCACAACGTGCTGCATTACACAGTCCTCTCTGGGCACGTCAAAAGACTGCGGGGTTGTGAAGCTGTTTCTGAGGCAGCGCACTCTCCAAATGAATGGCTGCACAGTCGTGCCCTCGAAACAGGGTGCACGGCTAATACCGTGTCCTGCATAAGGCAGCGGCGCTTTCGTGGGGACAAAGAACCACATTTAAAGAGTAGCGTTTTTGTTAAGTTGCACTTGCTCAAATGCCGAACAGCACGCAAAGCGACGCTGTCTCTCTCCCTCTTAAAACTAATTATTTAGCGACGCTGCCTTTGACAATTGGTGCACAAGCAGAGGTAAGAAAAACAAAAGCTCAACATTCGTCGATAGGAGCGTGGCCTTCATTTAGACTGGAAGAATCTGATGAGCTGTGAAGCTCTTTCACAGACGTCCATTAATGGCCCTTCGCAGCATGTAGGCCGGTTAGAGGAGTTGGAGACAACGCGATATAGACATAGATACGTGCTGTGAAGGACCCATTGCACAACACCGTCACCTGTTATCTAATTTTTCTATTTAGGGCCACCGTTACTGACGAACGTGTCGAGTTTGCTTCGTCGCCCACGCCGCGTGGGAACAGCACACGGGGCAGCAGTGCAGGCCCAGCGGCGTCGGGTTTTGTGCATTCCAGAATTGTCTCGTAGCTTTCCTGTGGTTTCAAATGTCTTTTTTGTCTACCTCCCTTTTGTCTTGCTATTGTCGTTTGTAATGTAAGCAATAGAAATATAGAAGTCATGGTAATAACGGGAGTTTTGTTAACGAATGGACGAAGTGGATTAGCCTGGTCTTCCGGGGACGCGCGCTGTACTTGGTTACTAACGCTTGACAACGATCAGCAAGTAAACAAACACCCATGAAATGTATGTGTAAAGAGGTGAATTACAAGGCTTGTATTCGCACCGATTACTGTTGTCATGCCATGTCTATAAAGGTGTTCGACCCTTGCAGTGTTTGCTCCGTGGCAATAAAAAAACAGAGGCGTGCAACAATTCACTGCGCTCAGCCATGCGTTGAATCGTGGATTCGGGGGCGACGTTTCAAAGTGTATAGCGTAGTCAACGTTATTATTTTCGTCTCAGTTTGCATCTTTTAATTTACGCAAATTTTTCGTTCTCTGGTTCTGTAGAGATGTTTCAGACACCTTGTGTAAATAAGATTAGCAAATATTTTTTTTTTATCAAGCACAGTTATTTTAACGATGGTCACCCCACTTGTGCGTGGCTCGTGGGGGTTGTTTACCATGCCTGGTCAAGTGGGGGGGGGGGAGCATGGACGTTGGAGCATAGTACAGTACAACGGATTTGGCGGCAGGGACCCCCTCTGCTGCACACAACATAGCCCCCCACAACAGGCTGCAGCAGCTGTTTTAGAGATGAGTGGTGGTCACCCATTCAAACACTCTTTCAGGCTCAGCTGTGCTTAACTTCCGAGATCTGGTGAAATTGGGCGCATTCTCTGTGATTTTTGTTCCTAGGCCGAATACGTTTTATATGTTTAGGATAAATGGGGAAACCCAATTCACACTATGCACGAGAAATCACATCTAAAATTGTCGATTTAATTAATGCATTGTTGCATACCCAACAGCACCTATCGTGTCGTGAGAGTTCAGGGTGTGATTTTTAAATACTTTGGTGAAAACGCCAGTGTAGGCAGCACCACAGGAGGCAATATGGCAGTCGATTCACTGCGAGTGTCTACTATGAAGTGATTGAGTCAAACAAGTCTAAAGCTTAGCTTATGTAATAAAAAAACCCCATGACAAAGTAAACTATGCCAACGCAGCAGAAATACTTAACACACAGGCTTTCGCGACCAATATTATCCATAAGGGGGTTTTTTTAGGGTTGCAACAGCACACTGGTGTGTTGGAGAGTAATTCCACAACATTTTTTATTTGCTCTCCAACACACCAGTGTACTGGAGTGGTGGTAAATTGGCACGTTTTGTTTACGTGACAAACCTTACTCATTTGCTGTGTCGCGCGGAGGCGGGTTTAACGTGATTTATATTTACGTGATCCAACCCAAAAAATTTTTTTAAACCCTCTTATGGACATAAATACTTGTGTTCATTGCACTCCAGCAACAAAGAATATAATCTGTCGGCAACCGTGTTTGTCAGAGTTGCACAAACGTCCGTACACACGTCACCACCCTGCAATTGCATTGAGAGACATTCAAAGCATTTAGTACTCCACTCCATGACGGAGTAAACGTTAACTCTTCTCGATTGTCCCGTGGGCAGATTAGCGGATTATCCGGGAGTGGGGATTAACCACGCACTGTGGGCACGCTCTCGCTGCTTTTTGGCTACTTCTCACGCAAACGAGGTGGGCAACTTCATGCCAACTCCTCAAACGTGTCGGTATATTAGTAATTCATTTAGTAAGCAACAAAAACAAAAGACATGCCATATTGTCACCACCCCCCGTTTCCAAGTCAATTACTTTTTTTTTTTACAACTTGAAATGTTTTTCATCCCCCGTCTTTTTGTTTTGTTCAAGCCGTCCCTTGCCCCACCCCCATTACCCCAGAATAATCGAGCGCCGACGACAACCCCACACCCTGTGTCCATCCGAATTTCACAGTTCAACAGACCACAACTGTAAACAATTCACAAGCAAATTCAAGCTCTTATGTGCAGTAGAATCTGGACATAAGCACACTTCTGATACGAGCCACCGCATGCCTACCGGTACACTAGTGAGCGTGAAAGGTCAACGGCAATGTCTGACACAAGATCGCTACTTCAGATATAAGCAACACCTCTCCTTGCTCCCAAGGAATTGTGCTTGTATCCAGGTTCTACTTTCACCGAAAAATGGTGACGACACTGACATGGCTGTTCAGTGGTTCATGGTGACGCTGCAACTTCAGTTCTTACTGAAGTCCCAAATGGGCAGTGCCCGTGCATTGACCGTTGCTTTGGCAGATGGCAAGACCCGGCTGCTTGTTCCGACGGTAAGGAAGCTCCTTACTTCAGCACGCTCCGACAAGCCAGGGAAGACAACTGCAGGCTGTAGTGAGCTGGAAGCTGCACAGAACACACGCGTACACAAAGACAAAGATTCCCCATATAGCCTTAACAGACTGTTGGGGCAAGTGCTGTTAGCGAGCACCTATGAAGGCTGGCATGGCACACGAGGGGGTGGGTGTCCAGCATCATGCCCGACCGCCTTTGTCTCCGAAATGTCAATGCTTACACATCACACCAGGTACTCATTTGAGGCTGAGTCGACCTAGCTGAGGCACAGGACCAGTTCATATAATCACCACTGGTGTTGGCCTTAGTTGGTAAAATGAAAAAGTTACGTTTTTTTTTTTCAGTAATTGGCGAGAAACGTTACATTACGGGACCATGATGCCGACAAACAAGCGCTTGCTCTCCTTCAAATGACATCACGGGATCTGTAACGTCAACTGTGACGCAACCCGCAGTATTAACCGGGGCGGCCTGCCAGATTCGAATGGCGAAACTCTGAAGCGCCTTCCCATCTCATAGCCCCGGACGGACAAATGCAAGGCGACCGATGCCGTCGCTCACCTGGGCACCCAGCCTGCACAGGTAACGGTTGCGTAGCGCAAATGCAGAGCGAGGACCCAGGCGTGTCAGATCCCTCTGGCTCTCACGTCGTCGGAGCTCTGCCCTCCTCGCCCTCCAGGATTGATGGGTGGGTGGGGGGGGGATGGGGGGGATAGAACACACGAGGCACATGAGTAGTGAAAGGGGTTCGAAGATTGAGGGAGGTGAAGTTAAACGTGCATCAGTAAAGCAACAGGCTGCAAGAATAGGCAATTTGAAAAGTAATTTCTTTAGAACTGCTTTGTGGTTAGTTTGATGTCCTTCACCCGTACCTCCGATTAGCACGGTTGGCTACGTACGGTGCGACAGAAGTTCAACATACAAATACAGACTGTTTATAAAAAAACTAATTTTACTTTTAATTTACCAGTTAAGGCCCACTGAGCTATGTAGCTCTTTTTCAGAAGCGACGGGCCACGAATGATAGCTCAACGAAGTGGCTTATCATATGGAAATTTATAGCAGCCAAATACTCAATAAACGTCAGGGTCGGGAATGAACCCACGCATTCCTACATAGCAGGCGAGGGAGTTAACGTCACAAACGCTCGACGACGACGCATGCTGGCAAGGGTTTTTAAGTGCGGGAGAATGTGGTTGGCGAAGTGCGTGTAGTTACCTTAGCATGTGGAGCCGGACTACGTTAGGACAAACACAGTCAACGCGATCATAGCATTCGTTTTGCCATTTATATTTCAAGTGCACGACACCCGGTACAAATTCTCCCCCATCCTGAATTTTGAACGCGTAAAACGGAGCAGCACCATCCCATTCACAATCATACGATTTAATTGTGGTACTTTTGAAATGGCTAAACCTTATAAAAGTATGACAATGAAATACTTCGTATAATCTTTGACATTAAACATGGTAATTGGGTTAGTATTAAAATGTTCAAGTGACCCAAAACCCGTTCAGCTGTTAAATTTAAAATATAACAACCATGAACTCTTGCTTTCTTTAACAGAATTGTACATGCAGAATAATGCCTTGTAAAGCTATTGCAAGAATCATATACATTAAAAGATAACATTTAAAACAGCAAAATGCAACAATCTTATGAGTTATTTCTATATCTGCTTTGAACTTCTTTTTAACATTTAAAAATATTTGTCAACAAATGTAACTCCAAATTATGCTGTCGGCATCATGTTGTGTTCATGAAAAATGTATTGATATTCATCGCAGAGCATTGAGTGCAACACCCCATGTTGGACAACGGCCCATGGAAGCAGACGTCACAGAACTACTTAATTTCACCTCGCTAGTGCCTTCTAGCGAGGTGAAAGCATTTTTCCTCCCCAACATTCCGCTATAAAGTGATGTCATCGCATGACAGCCAAATTAAATGTTTCAAATTCTCACCAAACTAAAATTAAGTACGGGCGCACATTTCACGCCGTGATTTGTTTGTCAAGTCGCCGGCGCGCGAGCAGGCCGAGACCACCGTCGCTTTGCTGCACAAGAGGGCTCTCGGTTTAAAACGCCGGCGGGCGGCGCCCCACAATTTTGACAACCAAGATCGAGGTGGTGCCAGCTCAGTGGTCTGACCTCTAAACCACCTGGCGACCTTTCGTTAATGAACAACGCGTACAACTTTGAGTGAAATGTAAAACCGAAGCATGCCAACGTTCATCGAGGGTGCGCATAATCGCCGAGCTACTGGTGTTGGCCATGAACAAATAGATTTAAGTGCAGCATTTAAAACCTATAAAGAGACCGGGTATATCGTAAATTACAACGGCAACAACGTTAAGCATCAATTGCAATTACAACAGAGCTCTCAGGATGCCCACAATTAAATGTTAAGATGCTTTTCGATTTAAAGCTTTCGTGACTGCAAGGATTCATCTTCTTTGGTTCTTTCGGTAAAGTCACGTAGAATGTGAATAAAATAATAAATTGATAAAATAAAATAACACAATATTTTATTTTATCAATTAAATTGATAAAATAAATTAAATTGATAAAATAAAATAACACAATATTTTATTTTATCAATTTATTATTTTATTCTCATTCTACGTGACTTTACCGAAAGAACCAAAGAAGAAGGTTAAGATGCTTTACGAGTACAAATTCAATTGTACAACAATCCAAAAATGAGACTGAATTAAGTGGTCATTCCCCTGTAATACCAATTGTGAGGTATTGCAGTTGATTCATTTGACCCAGGTTTTACAAAGTGCATCAAGGCAGCATGGAAAGTGCTTGCATTTCCCTAAGTTTTCATCAGACCTGGAATCAATTACAAACGTAACGGTGAAACGTAATGAATCGGTAATAACAATATCTTTTAGATTTGAAGTTTACTCTTTGGTTCTTTCGGTAGTCACGTAGGTAAAAATAAAAATAATAAAATCCGTGACTTTACCGAAATAACTAATATCATTGTAAGGTCTGATAACTTGCGTACACGTTCAGCCCCTTTGTCAATCCACTGCCGGATGAGGGTTTCCCCACGCCATTCAGGTTGTGGGGGGGGGGGGGGTTGTTATTTGATCATACTTCACCAAGCTGGTCAGTGCGGGTTGGCTATTGAGGGAAGCAGACTACTGGGAGCGTACGTAGTACAGTACCAATGGATTTTTTCTGCACTGCCCTCTGGTGCCAACACATCGGGCGCATTCCGGGCGAATCGGTAACAGATTTCTATCAACGATGGTGATGTAAATTGCAATCATAAACACGTCCCTACATCTGGTTTCTAAGACTGTAAAATCCCATTTGCCGCACCCAACTTCCCATCGTCTCTGTCCTGGAGTGCATTCCCAAATCTCATTCCCATTTATGTGACAAGGAGTGGATCCTGGTTCCTCTAAATGCTGTAACGCTGAACCCCCCACAGTGATGTCCAGCCCAAGAGAACTGCTGGATGCAGATACTTACAGAAATTGAGTTGTTCTAACACTGCGTGCCAGCGGTGTAAATAAATTCAGCAAGAGCATTCAAAGCAAGCAAAGCGCCCGATAGAAATTGCATACCCCACTACCTTTGCGGCACGGGAGCCACACAGGTACGAAAGCAAATCATCGATAAAATGTTTTTAAAGTAACGTGAATATTATATTTTTCCACGCGTGTTTTTACACGCCGATAGATTTAGTGCCATTATAAAATAAGCGCTTAGAGAAAAAGTGTTTTTGTATCTCAGTAGGATTATCTGTATAAGTAAAATAAACAAAATGATAAATTTTACATCTTAAAATTGCACAAGCGGGGACCCCACCCCCGATCTGTCGCTGCCGAAAGAAAAACGGCAGCCATGCTGATTTTACTGCAAGCGGGGGAGAAGCGCGCGCATCTGCCAAGCAAAATTTCTTTTTACAGAGCGTGCCAAGCCTTAAAGCTGCGAAAGCCAGATTCGAGAGCGGCAGAAGTTAAAGAAGTCGTCCCAGATGCCTCTCACATATAGACGGGGGACATCGCTGGAAATTCCGCTCAGCTGCAAAACAGCCAGCAAGGAGATGAACGGTATTATTTACTGCCAGGACGCAGGCCGTACACAAATAGGGCATCGCATTGCATTAGTCAGCCTTCAAAAGGGGGCTGCCACAATAAATTAAAGTCGGCATGCAATATGCGTTAGTAGATGCTCCAATATTGGAACTCATGAGATTGAACACATTTTTAAATGGTACGTATACGGATGTAAACACCTACGTCAATATACTAGTGCGTTGATGGTGACTCATGTGTAGCCATTTTTCTTTATTTCTAATTTAACACAGTTTCCAGACCGGTTCAGATATCACTGGCCACCGATGTTAGCCATGGACTGGACATCCAACTCGAGTTGCCAGGTTCATAGCGCAGCACAAGAACCAAATGCTTAATCACTTCCCACAAACTACTACATAGTTAAGACGAACTAACATTTGGTATTGAGCTCATGAGAGAGCAGCAATGACTATTTCATTAAAACACAATGTATTTTTTTCACGTCAAAAAGCACATCACGGAGTCTATACAAAGTGTTGTTCTCTGTGCTGGGGGATGCTGTGCGCGTCAACTGGTGGCACCGCGTGCAGAGACGTTGTACTCACTCAGCTGCTTCGAGCTCTCGTTTCTTGTCTCTTTCCCTGGAGGAGAGGTTGAGGCCGCCGTCTGCACACGACACGGCGCGCGGCAACCCACCCGGTGAACGGAGACGCATGGAATCTCGTAGCCGGTGCACGCATGGCATCTCGTAGCTGCAGGAGCCGGTGTTATTGTGACGTATGTTCTCGCCACAGTTGCGAGATGTTAACTACCTTGCCTGATATACAGGAGGCTTTGGGTTCGATCCTGACCCTTGACGCATGTATATTTGGGGTTTGTGTGTTCTCGCTCTTCCTGGTGGTTGCGTGGATTTTACTCTGGGTCCACCGGTTATTTTCCTCCACATTTAGAAACATGCGTTTTACAGTATATGGCTGCTATAAATTTCCACGTGATAAGCCACTTCACTGAGCTATTATTTGCGGCCAGGTCGCTTATGAAAAAGAGCTACAACACAGCTCAGTGGGTCTTAGCTGGTAAAATAAAAATTGGAAAAACATGTTGAACTTCTTTCTCGCCGTACGTAGCCAACCGTGCTAATCGGAGGTGCACAATTGAAGTAAACTGTGGACGATTGAGTGCATCAACTATGAATGGCGACACACCATATCCTGATCCTTGTTGTGTAAGGTGTGAAAAAGGCACAAATATGCATTGATAATGTATGCACTGTTCTTGAAACTGGTGTAGGTCATTAAGTTGCAAGGACAACGCATATATTTTCAAATAAATATTTGTTTGCATTTTTTACCACAAGCACATGTGGTTAATGCAGACTTGATGCCTTGATGGTGTTTGACCATCTTACCAGCTGTATTTATGTATTTTCCTTTATCATTCAATATCTTGATACTGGCAAAAGCATCCCATCGAGAGGGGAATTTCACCTGGCAACACGTGGTGGCTAATTTTAATTCACTCCAGTCACTTCCGTCACTGCAAGGTTGACACGCACGTTAATGTGTTGAACTTCTTTCGGACGGTACATAGCCAACCGTGCAAATCGGAGGTGCAGGGGAAGGACAACAAACCAAACACAAAGAACAGTTAAGGTGTTTTTTTTTTACGTGTGGCTCCTCAAAAGGTACTTGAAAGTCCAATTTGGTGCACTGGAAAGGAAAAAGTTTGCCACCCCAGTCGTTAGGTGTGTGCACCGGTGCTCACCTCTGATCAGGTCGATCAGGTAAAGTAGAACAGTGGCGATCAAGGCAACTGGAAGACAAAGGGAAAGGCATTACAACACGAGGAAGGAGGAAAACACGTTGGTCTGACCGCATCCACTCGGGACTTTAATAGCCAAGCGTAGAGCAGTTTATTAATTAGCAGACCCTCGGCCAATCCGCTGCTAGATGAAGGCCGCTCCCATGCGGTGTTGGTCACGAAGGCTGTTTGACCATACTTCACCACGCACGGTCATTGCGGGTTGGGGATGCCCGGAGACCGGTTCCGATGTCACTCGCCACTGTCGTTTAGTCGTGGCCGGGAATTGAACCTAGATCGGCGGGTTGATGGCGCGCTCACATATGGATTCTGTGCAACACTATCCGACACGCATTGTGCCCCACAGGCGTTGTACCCTGCTCGCGTGCGACACGACGCGCTGGCCACGCACAGGGCTCGACAGCGTGACTCACAGCACAAGCAGATGCAGAAGAAGAGCTCCAGGAAGAGGTATCCGCTCGAGTCCAGGATGGAGCCGGCAGCAATGGAAATCACCGCCAGCCCCAGGTTCTGTATGGACTGCATGCTGCAGCAGGAAAGCACGCGCGATTGGCAAAACTATCCAACAGTTTACAGCGATATAATTTTTCGTGATACGACACACAACCCCGTCTAAAACTTCCGCAACATGACGAGGACTGAGATATCATTTACACGTACTGCCCATTTTTTTATAATCTTCCTGCAATGCCCCCAACTGCCCACAACGCCTACTACGCCTGTCTCTTGCCCACAGTGCCCACCCATCCAAGCACTATCCAGGTTCACGTTAAGCTGAGCTTTACAGTACTGTACTGTGCATTCAATTAACTAGAGTTACCGTTTATAGTGTTCAAATGGTACAAACTAAAATACGACTTAAAAATAACACTGACATCCCAACGCCACACTCACAATCCATAGGCTGTCCCAAGCTGGTGCTCCGGCACGAGAAACGACACCATTGGCCACAGCGCACATGCCAGTAGGGAATACGCCACTCCCATCAGGCTCTGCGTGGAAGACACACACCGTCCATTAAGGCATGGCATTGCCCAGCGGTAGCGTATTCGCCGCTTTTTGCAGAGGTTCACGGCTAAAATTCAGCGGCCGCCCAGGTTAATACTGTGGTTGCGTGATAACCACAATAATGACTACTGCGCGCCGTCTGTTTCACAGTGGACGTTAAAGATGCTCTGCTGTCGCCATGAGTAAGAGTGCTGGCGTCAGGATCAAATTTGACAAAATTGAAAATACTTGAAAACTACTCAATTGGGATTGTACATAGCAATCATTGCACCCTACTGGCAGACTAATCCCCCAGGTCACTCTTGCAAATGAGACATCCTGTTCTTATCCTAAGCACAACAATAGCTTTTAATTCAATGCGGTGGCCACCACGTGGCTCCGTAGCATTCTGTTTATGAATGGTGGTCACCCATCCATATTTTGCTAAACGGACGAAAAGATTATCATGGAGCTTATAATTGTACAATAAATCGTAATATTGCCATATTGTGGCATCTCTCCAACTGGATGTGGAAAGAAATCCGTCACTGGTGTGTGTACTCTCGTGTGTGCCTGCGGTTACAAACACGAGAACCCAAGGACCATACGCAACTTCACGCCGACCCAAAGATATATTCCAAAGTCATTGGGTGGGGGTGTGTTTGCAATTCACAAACTCTCAAGACAGCAATTGCACGGCTCAATCACTTGCATCTGGATCTCTCACCGCTGCTCTTCATAGGCAACATGAAAGAATAAGACTGCCATGCTTGCGTGTGAGAACGAGTGTTGGACGCGGTCTCACCATTGGGATCCAAGGATTCCAGAAGGTGAAGGCGAGCATGAGGTGAGCTCCCAGCGTGGCCAACACGGCCATGAGCACCCACAGGATGTTCTTGCCCACGCGATCCACCATGAACCCCAGCACGGGGGACGCGGGGGCCGAAATGACGTACACAATGCTGCACGTCAACGCAACACAAAGATGCAGACGCACGCACGCAACAAGGACGATAACTCAAAACACATACACAAGACAGATAGATAGCCAACAGATACAGAATGTGAATATTTATTTATACTGGAGGAATCCGTTGAGCTAAAAAGCTCTTTTTCACAGGTGTCCAGTAAGGGCAGGTCAGAACGTTACGAAAAGACGATAGGAGTGCAACGTATAGGAAAGGTAAACAAATACAATGTGTATTATTGGTTCTTTTGGTAAAGTACAATGTGCTTATGAAGATATGCAAAAGACACACAATACAGGCATGAATAGAACATGATACGCACGTGCAATTGTTTGGAAAAAACTAACGTAGAAAATTAACGAATATTCATGCATTTACTTTAACCTCTTTTTTTGACCCCCCCAATGGTAACCCAATTGCGCTATCAGCATCGGTGTCACAGGACGAAGATTCCATTTCCATCTCTCGCACAGCACTGCGACCCTTCTTGTCAGGAATGGCCCACAAAAGCAGACATCAAAGAGCTACCTTTGAGAGCCCCTCAAGAGCTATTCTGGTCTACAGAGGAGGGGGCAACACTTTCCCACCCACTCCGCCACATTAGTCATATTCGTCGCATGACAGGCAAACTAATATTTTTAATTCCCAAAGCTGGAATTTTGCCAAAATGAAGTGCATAACCAGACTTTACGTGATGGATTGTTATATGTGTGTAGTTATTGGTGACTGGACTTAGACCATCACCTCACTGCACGCGAGAATCTGGTTTAACCGAAGGGGACTGTCTGGATTCGAACCCAGGATCTCAGCAGTGCTGGATTCAGTGCTCTGACCGCAGCCACCTGTCCAGTTCAAACATGTAACAACATTGTTAAAATTGTCATTATACACGTGTGAAATAAAAAAAACAAATTAACTTCACCAGGGTCTTACCTGTTAACTGCTCCTGCGCTGGGGGCACTGAAGCCAAACTTCTCTTCAAAGAAAACTCTGAAAACGTTCAGCACAAGGGGGGGGCGGGGATCAGTGATGAGGGGAGCAATGCTCAGGTTACTCTTGGAAACGAAACTATCGTGGCCTCCTAAAGGTCTCACAGGGTTACGTAAAATAAATACCATCACACGTCACATATATTTACAGCCCTTTGTGTCAATCCACTGTTGGGTGAAGGTCTCTCCATGTCGTGTTGGCCACGTGGGTCGTTTGGCCATACTTCACCACGTTGGTCACTTCTCATTGACCAAAGGGGTTGCCCAAAACTTGTTGACAAAATCCAATGGTTTGTTTTCGCTCTCAAATATGCAAACGTATTGCTCTACACAGCTTACCCATCGGCTTTCATATCGAAAAATGAAATAGTTCCAAAGACACTGTTGGAGAGCATTACATAATCCAATTTGTCAATTTTATAATTAGGCTTTCGCAAACAATGATATTCTTTATTTGAGCTTGTACACCACTGCCAACGAAGTCCTTTGGTTTCTTGACGATGAAAATGTTACGTGGCAGGCAGTGGCAGTGGGGGGTGTGTGCTCTTGGAGTACGTACTTCCCCAGGCCGATGAATGGGAAAACTGCCACGTAATATCCGACGCACACCATGAAGATCATCCAGAGCGATGCTGGGAAGTCCTTGACGTCGGTCAGCCTCACCACCTCTCCTGCACGACACAGCGGGCGTTCAAGCGAGGCAGGCCACCACACAGGCTGTGCCGGATTTCCGAGCAATGACATCAGACATCATGGCCATAGGCTATGTGGGCGAAATACCGGTGATATGTAATGGGAAATTGGTCCATCTGCATATTTGTGAAGAAGGGCCATTGCCCAAAACGTAATCGATATATTTCTTTTTAAGACCACATTGTCATTAACGAATGTGTTAAAAGTGTTTTCTGCAAATTAATGGGCTATCTAAACTATAAAAAAAATTACCGTGTAAGGCCCACACTGAGCTATGTAGCTCTTTTTCAGAAGCGACCTGGCTACAAATTATAGCTTAACGAAGTGGCTTATCACGTGGAAATTTACAGCAGCAAAATACTATAAATGCATGCGGATTCAAAATGTCGAGGAAAAACCAGAGGACCCAGAGAAAAATCCACGCAACCACAGGGAGAACATGCAAACTCCAAATATACAGGCATCAGGGTTGGAATTGAACCCACAACCTCCTACATACCAGGCAAGGTAGTTAACATCTCGCCACCACGGCACCATCCTCATCTCCTGCCATGATATATATTTGACACAATTACATTTAACCTCTGCTCAGTGCAGCCCACCTGTTTTGCCTTGCTCCTTGTGCAGGATTTTTTCGGCACGCTTGTCCAGGAAACCCAGGATGAGCGCACACACCAGCGAGAAGAGGCAGGTGATTGACGCTGTCACAATATCACAAACACAAGGCAACACAAACGCGTTTTTTTTGTAGGGTCTAAAATGGGACCGCATCACAACACGCCGTACGGAAAACAGTATTTATTTTATAGAAGCAGTCAGCTAGCGGGAAAAGAAAGGAAGACTCTGAGCCTCGATGTGAAAAACTCCTATAACCAACACGGGGAGGGGGTTAGGAAGTCTATGGGGGCCTCTATGCGAGTCTATTGATCTGTGCGGAATTCTATTGCTTTCTGTGCAAAATTGTGGGTCTGTGTAAGTTCACGAGTTTTTGTCTGCATATATAGGCCTCTGTGTTTTTGTCTGTAGCTCTAATTCTGTGACTCTGTCAGTCTATATAATACAATGTGCATTTATGTACCATCTCAAATGAGACCGTTGAACAGAAAACAATGGGCGTATTTATTTTATGTAATGAGGCAGTGAATCAGACTGAGGAAATAAAATGAAGGTTTTGAGCCTGGACTTGAACAGAGGCAGGAAGTCGATGGCACGGATCGCTGGGGGAAGGAAGGGAGATCCAAGCACAAACAACACCCCACACATCACATTTGGCTGCAGCAGTGCTGGGTGAAATGGTGCTTTACAATAGCAGCAGCATAAAGTCCAATAGAAAAATCCCAGCATTGCCCATCTCCAATTTATCACAAAATGTTAAGACTGGTTACACATTTGTGAAGTGCATTCTCTCTTTAATTCCTGTGTTCAAACCTAGTTGCTTTTTCACGTTGGAAAAATGATGGCATTTACTGTCATTCTGGGTCTTTGCAAACACCCTCGAGTGCAAGCAACAGGAGCGTGCAATCAAACAGCAACGTCACTAGAAATGTGTGTTGTTGGTTCAATGTGGAGCCGTTATGAATGCGAGAAAGGTTGATTTGTCATTGGATGGCGCTGCTTGGAAGAGAACCGGGGGGTGGGATGCATGGCCTACCACCTACCGATCATGAGAGAGATGCCCAGGCAGGAGTGACCCGACCCAAATGTTTGCGCCACTTTGTTGTACAGAATGCCCATCACATTCATGTTCACTGTACTTCCCTGGAGGCAAAAGCAAACACATAGAAGGTGTCTATTAAAGGTGTCAACATTCCATAAAAAATCCCGATTTAGATTAGACATCATTTGAATTTCCAGCGCTCACTCAGGACTGAATATATACATGGCGTGTACAAAGGTATCATCCATAGACAGGTACTTGATTGGATAAAACCAAAGAGCAACATCGCCCCCTGATGACGAAAAATAAGAAGAGGTTTTACCTTTTCTGGCAATAAAACAGGTATGTTCAAAATACAAAACAGATACCTTTTGCAAGGCATCAAGTCTGCATTAACCACACGTACTTGTGGCAAAACATGCAAACAAACATGCTCTGATAATATACACATTTGATTTGGTGCTTTCGTGACTGCAGGAATTACTCTTTGGTTTTTTCAGTAAAGTCACGTAGAAATAAGAAATAATAATAAAATTACATAATAGCATACGACGTTTCGATTGCAACGCAAGCAACCATCATCAGGTATAGAAGAGCTAAATTTAAGAGAGAGAGGAAACACAGAACCGCAGATATATACAGACACCTAAGTAGAGGGAGTTAACACAGAGACACAAAGAGACACAACGTACGGAGCACAGAGAGACAGGGTCTCTGTGCCGAGGCCTTAGCATGTAGGGGAGACAAATAGAGATGGAGAAGCACATCAAATCGAACAAGATTTAGTAAAATTTGGAAACAATATAATGCAGCACAGAGGGTCGGTCAAAACACAATTAACGTATGGTCTGGCTGATTATGTAATTTCAAAGATTGCTAAATTATAGGTTAACTCTCTCTGCTTAGATGTCTATATATGTGTCTGCGATCTGTACTCTATCACTCTTAACCTATAATTTAGCAATCTTTGAAATAACAATCAGCCGGACCATGCGTTAATTGTGTTTTGACCGACCCTCTGTGCTGCATTATATTGTTTCCAAATTTTACTAAATCTTGTTCGATTTGATGTGCTTCTCCATCTCTCTTTGTCTCCCCTACATGCTAAGGCCTCGGCACAGAGACCCTATCTCTCTGTGCTCCGTACATTGTGTCTCTTTGTGTCTCTGTGTTAACTCCCTCTACTTAGGTGTCTGCGGTTCTGTGTTTCCTCTCTCTCTTAAATTTAGCTCTTCTATACCAGATGATGATTGCTTGCGTTGCAATCGAAACGTCGTATGCTATTATGTAATTGTATTATTATTTCGTATTTCTACGTGACTTTACCGAAAAAAAACAAAGAGTAATATACACATCGTCTTGATTGGCCTACACCAGAGAAGCCTTCTGAATGGCCTTGTCTCACCAGTGTTAGACCAGAGAACAACGCCAAAAGGCGAACAGTACAAATACAGTGCAAGTATCAAAGCATCAATAGCTTGGGGTGAGAAGTTATTTTTTTCACTTTGGAAAAAATATGGCATTCACTGCCATTCTGAATCTTCAGATCCACACCAAAAAGGCCTCATCGCTCCCCGTTGGCAGGCTACCCATTGGTGTAACTGTAGCATATTTGTGGTAACGTCGCATTATAAGAATGGCACGGATGTCATAAGCACGAACAAATATTGTTATTAGTAGTTTGAGACGGTTATACAAAAACTATGTATATATACATTCACACGTGGCACTACAAAGATTGAATCGTACTAGTCTCGTCCCCATAAAGGTCCACATGTCCACCACAGCATTGGCAACACATTACCACCTCCGATTAGCACTGTTCGCTATGTACGGTGTGAAAGTTCAACATACACACATACATCACGATTCTAACTTGCCATTCTGGATTTATTGTGGTGGATTTGAGGCTGGCCAAATACGTTTTGAGTCTCACTGCTCACCGGCATACAAAGTCCAGTTCACAAAAACATACCAATCGAGCCATGCTGAGCTGCAGACCAAACACCAGGTTAAGCTCCTTGCCTTTGAACCAGTTCACCGCGTACGTGTTTTGAGCCACAGCCAGAGACTCCCCGCCGATACTGTGAAATTCAGACACGTAACAAAGCACAGAGCACGAGTATATTATCAGAGAATGTTTGTTTGCATGTTCACCACAACTACCATGTGTGGTTCATGGAGACTTGATGCCTTGCAAAAGGTTTCTATTTGGCGTTTGAACATCTTAACACCTATATTCTTAGTTCTTTCGGTAAAGTCACGTTGAAGGGAAACAATAAAATAATAAAATATATATAAAACAATAAAAATTCTCACGACGTTTCGACCATAACACAAACGGTCGACCGTTTGTGTTATGGTCAACGTGACTTTACCGAAAGAACTAAGAATATGAATTACTGCAGTCACGAAAGCTTTAAATCAAAATCTTAACACCTGTTATATTGCCAGAAAGGGGTAAAACATCTTCTTATTTTTCATCATTTTGATACTGGCAAAAAGGTGTCAAAAGTCTAGAAAATATTTGTCCTTTTTGAGATGCTTCTTTCACCAGGACACTCTCCATGAGCACACTTACCCAAAGATAAATCTTCCCAGCTCCATGAGCCAGTACGCATTGGTAAACGCTCCGACAGCAACGATGATCTGCAGCGGTCGCAAAGACGTGACGCGATAACATCAACACTGTTAATCTGCGGGAAATTCATTTTTTTATATCAAAGTTCAAGAATCTGTATTTGAATATACAATGCGATCACTGCCAGGGGCACTGAACTCACCTGGCCAATGAAGACAAAGAGGCCAAAAATAATTGTTCCAAGCCTGTGAGGGAACGACAATTGAATTTAGAAATTGTTTTACGTTGATGTTCAGAAAATAACTGAAATATATAAAAATGTAATCTTAAGAAACAAGAATTAAAATACACTCGCATCAAGATTTCAAAATAGACTGCCATGAAAAGCAGCATACCAATTCACTGAGAGAAGTGTTCAATCAGTGGACATTGTCTACTATGACATGTAGATTGGAAACAACGAAGCCGACGTGGAAACTGGAACAAAACTGAAGAGAGTATGCAAAGAAGCATGCAGGGATGCATGCTTGGAATGACACTTGGTTCTGTATTTACATGGAGAACCTCTTTCGCACCATACGTAGCCAACTATGCTAATCGGAGAAAAAAAAAGACGTGCCTGTCATCCAATTGTAGTATTAAAATTAATGTGCAAATTGACCGAGCATAAATTGGCCTTTTCCGTGACAGAAAATTAGAAACGCAGTCTTGCACAGTCAAAACATATATTCTGTTCTTGACCCGATCGTGCGGCAAAGATGCGTGCGGCAATGGATAATAACGTTTGCTAGCTTTTTCGAAGTGGTAGATCTGATGTGGCCACGAGTCATAGGTTGCCCAGCCCTGCTTTAGACAAATGTACAAATTACGTCACGTGCCAATGGTGGTGAAGGAGAAGTGGCGGAGTGGATGAAAAAGAAAATGCTGAACGAGGCAGTCAACTGGGATGTTGACAGACTGTGGTGGTGATAAAGAAAATAGGCCGAGTAAAGGCAACATAAACATAAAGGTAAATCATATGCGACAAAGGTTATACAAACATATTCAAAGTACAGCTCAGGCCATTCATGACATTCTGTTGATCGTAATTGTGTATTCTGAAATAAACTATGTTGGGAAAAGAAGCAAACTCTTTCGATGTGGAAGAAGGGAAAGAGACGTGATGGCAAGCTGCGGAGACACGGGCAGCAGGGGATGTGGCTTTTTTTCAAGGAGATTCCTCACCTGACCCCAAAAACGCGGTCAATGAGGAAGCCTCCGAAGAAGCAGAGAATCACGTTGGGCCACGAATACCAGGCATAGAGCTGCATGAAGGAGGCTGTGTTCACTTTCATGTCCTAGCACGCACGCACGCACGCGTAAGCAAGCCAATGTGAGCACACATACAATATGCACACAAAAACTAAATCCCCCGTGTTGCCTTTATTATACTAACAGTGCAATGGGAATATGTAACTCCAACAATAATTTGTATTTAATTAGCAAATGGTCCTTTTTGCTCATGTTTGTCTCAAAGTTTTGGTTATTGATTTCATCGATTTAACCAGTTTATATTAAAAAAATTCTCAAATTAGATCATCTTTATCAGTTACAGAGCACATGTTTGTGGATAAACGAATACAGATGTAAGGGATCTGCCAGCCACCCTCACACACACGCACCATGCAGACATGAAATCTCCGCTCTCAGTATAACACGCACCAATCACACGCATGGGAATGCGCTAGACGGGGGTCAGGGGTTAAAGGGTACTGACGTCACCCGGACAAGGCGTGCCCAACGTGGATGTGTATTGGGAACGAGGGCGGAGATGGAGGGGTTAAAAGGGGCTGTGAGACGCGTGTTCGGGGTTGGTTTTGGAACGAGTGTTGCTGTGGGTTGGAGAAATAAAGAAGTGCTTAACCAGTCTCCGACTCCTCTTCACAGGTATCCCTCGGTATGCGAAAGTTCAGTTTACAAAATTTTGCATTAACAGCATTCACAAATTATGCACACTTTTCGATTGAACGAAATCGAATTTCCGCGTTGACAAAATTTCACTTCGGCACGCGGTGTGAGATCATCAAACAAGCAGCGACCCGGAAGGCTGCGTCGTCATCCATCCGTGACAGCGACAGTGTCCCTGCAGTGCCACAGTGATGGATTCGCATTGCCTTGCAAGTCATTCCAACATGCGGCAGATCTTTTGTTTAGTTCTCTGAAAAGGTTATTTTTTTTTAATTTAACATTCATCATTCCATCGATTTAATGGTTGTTCTTTATTGTATGTTTAATTTTTTTCGCACCGTACGTAGACAACTGTGTGAATCGGAGGTGGTGTATATTTTTAGGTTAGGAGTAGAGTTGGAATGACTGCTCAAAACACATCCCTTATTTTTAGTATTCAATTAATGGGAAAAGCCGTTCCCATTACAAAATGTCATTGTCCTCGCGTGTGTTTTTGAAGAACGCATCCCATCCGTGAATTAAGGCACCCCTATAGGGCCAATGCCTAAACAATTTCAACCCCAGTTGGACGTTGTAAAAAAAAACATTCATTTACCTGCATAACCTGCGTCTGCAGGGCTGCTGGGTTGTCATAACAGAAGTAGCTTCCTAAGAGGGGGCAAAAATCACACATTTATAACAGGTTAATCGTGTTGTTGTTTTTCTTGGGTAAGAAAAAGGCTTGCATATATATTTGGGGGAAAATGCCCCATCATGATATCACATCCATTAACTTAAGTATCTGTGCCAACGGTATATGATTTGCAAACTTGTGGTTACTCATTAGCTCCTTGGTTTGCCTTAAGTGCAAAGATTATGCAAGACTCAAATTGTGTACGTTAAAGAATCACATGGTTACAGGCGGCGACTAAAAACATGTCCAGGAAAGAAATACGCTCATTTAGAGATATAGTGAACAAACAGCAAGAACACTGATGTCCTTGGGGTATCGTTCACGAGTTCACCTCCAGTTCCTTAATTTTATTCAAGATCTGAAGCCTCAAGGAGTAAAAATCAATGGGAGAGCACTCCTTTCTGTCCTGGAGTACTGTACGTTTGTATGTATACTGGAACTTCTTTCGTACCGTACCAATCGGGAGGTGCGGGGGAAGGACAACAAACTAAACACAAAAAGCAGTTCTTAAGAAATTAGTTTTGAATTTAGGTTTCAAAGTACGTAGCTCCAGTGGCTTCCAAATATCGTAAGGAAGAGCGTTCCAGACGGCCGTAGAAGCGCATCTGAAAGCGCCGCGCGATGCGGTGAGCGCCGCCTCTGTTCGATGGCTGAGTCAAAAGTACCTGAGCTCACAGCCACGAAGGAGACGTTCCTATCTAGCCTAAAGCCAACATTCCTCGCCCACCCAAACACATCTTATACTTACACTATTTGAACTTACATTCTTTACCTATGTTATGTATTTATCTTTAACGATCTGCGTACCTTTCCTACACTTTGCACTCCTATAGTCTTTCGCGTTGTTTGTTGCCTCTAACTTTCTTCACCCGCCCCTACTGGACATCTCCGTGTCCTCTTAGACGTGTCTTCCCCTCCTTCGGCTGCCACTCCATTCCGAGTCTCGACGATCTGCAGCGATCATTGCGACCCGACTGTCCTTCCCCCGCACCTCCCACGAGCACGGCTGGCAGGGTAGGGTGCGATAGACCTTGAACATACATGCATGCTTATCTTCCAGTAACTTGTCCTGCACAAGCCTTACACTTCTGTTAAGTCAAAATAGTGTCCCTTAGTGTCTGCGGCCTGCATGTGTTCCTTCATCCACGCCTTCCTCTTTCTGTCCCTTCAAGTATTACCCCGTCCCGTTTTCCAAAATCACTGCACACATTTTTCTCTTTCTCAACCCGGTCCACCTTCCACAACCGCCCGAGATATCGTACACCCATGTGCTCTCCAGCTGTACCCCTCCGGCAATTGTTGAGGAATCGATTAAAAAGGTAACATAATCAACGTAGCCTAACAAAAAGCACCAAACATTGTTTTAAACCAGTGACATACTTTTACCCGCTGTGACATATAGCTCAGCATCGTGGTCATTGACAACGACGGCGGGATTCGCAGTGTACAAAGGTACAAGGAGAGGCAGTAGATGGGCAGATAGAGAGGAACAGGGATTGGGAACACGCGGGCTAACGACATCAATGGATCTTAGTGAGAAGAGTGAGAGAGGGTGGCCGAGCAGGCCGTGGGGGGTGGCCGAGCAGGACGGGGCGCGAGAAGAGGCAGCGGTCGATGTTCGTCACGGAGTGCCCGGCGAGGAACGGACCGCATCCAAGAGGCCTCTCGGCCGTCCGCCAAGACGGCGGGGCGATGGAATGGGGTCGTGTGCGGCCGCGGGGTGGACGGCCAAGATGGTGAGGTGGCCTAGAGAGGCCTTCATCCAGCAGTGGAGTGGCCACATTCCACGATTGCCCTCAAGGGGAACTCGCGCAAACTACGGAAGTGTTGCAACCAGAACTTCTGCTTTAATGATTATCACAGCGGCGCCACGTTAATTCGACTTGCGTTGGTCGAACGCTTGCTTGGTTTAAAGTCGACAAACACGCGGCTCGGCGCAAGCGAGGTAGTTGCATCAATTCCTTTAAGCAAAAAAAATCACTGCAATTAACAACGCACGGAAGGAGGGGTTACATTTCATAGCACGCATAAGCACGCGTCTACACTCCAAACCAATCAGGTTCACGCTCCAGCCTCCGCGTGATTGACGCCGACCCATAAGCGGGTCTGTTTTCAATCCCGCGAGCCAATCACGAGCGGCAGGAGCGCATGCGCGCTACCAATTGTAAACGCGACCAAACGCTCTTATACCGAAGCCCAGGAAGCACATGAAGACGAGGACCACGAAGCGGTGGGGCGTGCGCCGCGGGTTGCACAGCGGCGAGGCGCCGCAGCCGGAAAGCGCCGCCTCGTCGTCGTCGCCGCCATCGGCACCGCCGCTGCCGATTTCGTTGCCGCCATCGCCGGCACCCAGAAGCGCCTCCGTCTCTTCCGCCATTGTCGCCAAACAACAAAAAAAACCGGCCCACGTGACCACGAGGCGCGTGAGTGCGCGTGACGTAACCGCCCGGGAACCCTCATTTGCATGACCACGCCCTACGTCCCGAGGGTTTATTTTGCATATCCACGCCCCTTCCCTGATGTTAATTAGCACGACCACGCCCCGGTTTAATAATTAAATAAAGCTGCTGCGTTGGCGGTGAGCGCGCGTGACAACTCAAACTAAAGCCGCTCGCCCACCCCCCCCTAGACATTGGGTCGCCACGGTGGCCGGGAGATGTTAACTACCTCGCCTAGTGTACAGGAGGTCGTGGGTTCGATCCCGACCCTGACGATGCCTGCTGCTGTAGATTTGGAGTTTGCGTGTCTCTTTCTATCATCATCATTACGGTGGCCAGGAGATGTTAACTACCTCGCCTGGTGTACAGGAGGTCGTGGGTTGGATCGCGACCCTGACGACGCCTGCTGCTGCTGTGTATTTGGAGTTTGCGTCTCTCTCTCTCTCCCCGTGGTCGCGTTGATTTTTCGCCGGTTCCTCCGGGTTTTCCCTCCACATTTAGAATCAACATCACCACACGTTTAGACGATTTGCCTGCTGCTATAAATGTCCACGCAGTGATAAACCGGCTTGGATGAGCTGTCAGCTGTGACCAGGTCGCTTATGACAAAGAGCTACGTAGCTCCGTGAGCCTTACCTTGTAAAATAAAAAAGTAGTTTCTAACTCGTCATTGCCACAAGTACATGGTGGTCCAGAAGTCTTGTGACCCACAATTAATGACCCCTAATCATTTTCCCCTTTGCATATCTGTTTTTAATAAACCTTAAAAAAAACAGTTTTAGAGAATGAAATGTGGGTCGCAAGACATCTGGACCACCCTGTACATTCTTTCAAATCTGCGCCCCCTGAATATCGGTAGAGACCACCACTGTGACCCTTCAGAGACAAAGGTCCTTCCTGTTCAACAAATCCACCGACTCTAAAGGACCGCTTCGTTCATCCGACTCCCTCCCATAGCATTAGAAGTGGCTCCTTAGTCCCGACAAACATTCAATTTCCTAAAACTTTGTTTGGTAAAAACACACGCACGCAAAAACACGCGCACACACGCAAACACACGCAAACACGCAAACACAAACAAATACAACAAACAGAAACAAATACACAACAAACACAAACAACAACAACCGCCATTCGCAACTAAGTGGCAGTGACGTCACCGCGACGCTTGTGCCAGGCCATGTGCACCTTGAGGCCACGTGAAGTGTCGAACGCCCGCTGGCAGGAGGTCACGGGGCAGACCCAAATGCCACGGGTCGACTGACTGAGATGACTGGCTGACGCACCACCTATACCCCCTACTGTGCCAACTTGCTATGCTTTAGTCACCCAGCGCTCCGCTCGTTGTTGTGAGCGTCGCTCCTCCGCCCTCCGTTGTTGTTGGAGGGCGACTGCCTCCAACTGCCCAGTAGCGTCCTTCACGAGCCTCCTCCACAGAGGCCAATCTTGACACCGCTGGCACCGGTCATCGGCAAGTCCACTCAGCTCCACGTCCTCCTGTACCACATCACTCCATCTCTTCTCTAGCCTGTGCCGCGCCCGTTTAGCCCCCTCGATCCGGCCGAACAAAAGCTGTTTCGGCATGCGGTGGCTGGGTATGCGTGCTACATGACCCAGCCAACGCAGCCTTGCCTGCCAGAGGAGCTCACCGATGGGACCTTGCCCAGATCTTTCAAGGATTTGTGAGCTCCTCACACAATCCAGCCTGGTTAAACCCAGGATGGATCGTAGGCAGGCTAGCCTAAATGTTTCTAACCAGCGAAGATGTTCCATTAAGGGGGTCCACGTTTCGCAAGCGTAGAGAAGGGAAGGAATGACCGTGGCCGAGAAGACCTGAAAGTGCGGAGCAACAGACCAGGTAGCTTCCACACAGCATTACGCAACCGATGAAAATATATTGCCGCTCGATTGATTCTCTGCTGTTAAACTGGAGCCGGTCATAAGCACACTGCCCAGGTATGGGAAACTCTCCACTCTCTCCACAACTACCCCATCACCGATTGGAAGTTGTGGGGGTGGAGTGTCCGATTGTACAAAATACCCAGGCAGGTGCTTAGTTTTGGTGGGGCTGATGGTAAGGCCCCATCTCTTAGTGGCATGCTCCAGTCTCAGCAGCAGCGTCTCCAACTCCTCCTCTGAATGAGCAGCTATAACCAAATCATCGGCATACATAACGTGGTTGAGCAATAGGGAGCCATCCCTTGACCGCACCCGGGCATCGATCAGCCTCCCATTATATCTGTACCAAATGGAGATTTCCCCGGTACAGCTATTGAAGGCTTCACGAACTACGTGGTCAAAATAGATGTTAAATAATGTGGGAGCCAGAAGACATCCCTGTCACACCCCAAGGTGTACAGGGAATGGCTCTGACTCCCGGCCACGTAGTTTTACCCGAGCCCGCTCACCATCATGAAGGTCCTTAATGATCGTGAGCAGGCGGTCAGGGACTCCAAAAGCACGAAGAACAACCCAGAGCCCAGACCTACTGATGGTATCATAGGCCTTGACCAGGTCAATAAAGCAGAGATGTAGGTCTTGTTGGAATTCCCTACACCTCTGCTGTAGCAGACGGACAGAAAATATGGCATCTGTGCAGGACCACCCTTTCCTGAAACCGCATTGGGGCTCCACAAGCCTCTCCTCAGCGTGCCTGGCAAGGCGATATTGAATAATCCTTGCCAGGACCTTTCCCGGCACACTGAGGAGTGAGATGCCCCTGTAGTTGTTACAGTCTGTGTGGTCCCCCTTCTTAAAGAGGGGGACCACCAGGGCATCCTTCCAATCCTGCGGAACCCGTCCAGTGGTCCAGACTGTTGTTATGATGTCATATAGGGCAGTCTGTGCACAAACGCCACCCTCCCTCAGAATTTCGCTTGGGAGATCATCTCTGCCCGGTGCCTTTCCTGGTCTCAGACTTAAATAAATATAGACAACACGTTCTATATTCTTGGTTCTTTCGGTAAAGTCACGTAGAAGCTAAAGGGCTAAACTTTTCAGTCACACCTAAACACATACCAGTTAATGATATCATTGGCCAAGTAGACGTGGCTCTCAAGGGACTGGGTCACATCGCTGCAGACGTAGCAAGATCTGAAATCGCTGCAACCCTTAAAAACGCTAAGATGCCAGCTAGCAACCTCAACAAAGATGAGCGTTTTGAATTATATAAATTAAAAAAGAGGGATGACATTGTCATCCTCTCAGCCGACAAGGGCAATGCCACTGTCATCATGGATAAAATAGAATATAACAACAAAATTCAAGAATTACTCAACGATGGCAGCTATACAAAAATATAAAGAGATCCCACCAATAGCCTCGTCGTATAAACCAACAAAATCATTTATGATTCAACCACATTAATTGATCAAACCAAACAGTTCTCGTTGAAACCTTCTGCTGCCAGGCCACCAAGATTATACGGCCAAAAATACATAAAGTAGATAACACCCCTTTGTCCCATCGTCTCTACTATCAACTCCCCCGCCTACAAACTGGCTCGTTTTCTGTCTGAAATCCTGCGGCCTTTCACTGGAAAAAACACCTCTGTGGTACAAAATTCTACTCACCTGGTATCGACAATCAAGGGTATTTCCCTGTCCCCAGACGACCTGCTTGTCAGTTTTGATGTAGTTTCCTTATTCACCAAGGTTCCTGTACCTGACACCATCGCAATCATTGAAGACTTGGTTCAGCAAGGACTAAACACTGAGGTACCCCCCCTGGTAAGACACTGCTTAACCAATACATACTTCACTTGGAATGGAACTTTCTACAAACTGAGGGCACCCCAATGGGCTCCCCCCTATCTCCGGATGTAGCCAACATTTTCATGGAGAAATCTGAGACTGATGCCATCCAGACTGCTACTCTGCACCCAACCTTATGGAAGAGGTACGTGGATGACACTTGTCATCTGGCCACATGGCCGGCCTGCTCTAGACCAATTCTTCGACCACATCAATTCCATACACCCAGCCATCAGATTTACCATGGAAGTCGAAAAAGATGGCAAGCTACCTTTTTTGGATGTCCTAATTAAAAAGAGACCTGATGGTTCAATGAGCCACTGTCTACAGGAAAGCTACCCATACGGATGCTTACTTGAAACCGGATTCCCACCACCACCCATCCCAGAAGAATTCCCTCATCAAGACTCTGCACCATAGAGCCCAATGCATATCCGACCAGGAACACATAGCCAGTGAACTCAAGCACGTACACCAAGCTCTAAAGGCTAATGGTTATTCCGACTACACAATCCGCAAAGCTATCACTCCAACCATGAAGGACCCTATAGATGTGCCTTTCAAAACCATCACTTTACCCTACATTGCGGGGATCACAAAAAATATCTCCAAAATCTTGAATAAACACAAGATCCAGGTCCGATTCAACACATTACATAAAATCCGTGATCTGGTTCCGTCTGTAAAAGATGTGATTCCGGACATACAGTACCCTGGCGTCTACAAACTAAGTTGCCTCTGTGGTAGTAGTTACATTGGAGAAACCAAACGACATGTCTCGGATCGCATTCGTGAACAAAAAGCAGACCTGAAACACGGTAGGACCAACACCTCGGCCGTGGCAGATCACTTTTATAATTCAGTAGGTTCACATGACATTGCCTTCTCCAAGACAGAGGTTCTTTGCAAGCCATCTGGCTACCATGAGAGAGTTTCGTTCATGAGGCTATCCACATATACACAGAGACAATTTCAACCGAGAAAATGGATTCTGGCTTAACAATCATTGGAAGGATTTGATAAACCATTTTCGGGTCTTGATTGATCACGCTTACGGTGGCTTTCAGACCGTATCTATTATTTTTCGTCTCCCCCCTCCTTTTTTCCGAACATAGATGGACTCGTCCATCTGAACAAACTGTCAAATCGCTCTCCGTGGTGCTAACGTTAAAAAAACGTCACTTTTTTCAAATTTTCTTGTTGTGGTTTTCACACCTGATGATTGCTTGTGTTGCAGTCGAAACGTCGTGAGAATTTTATTGTTTTATATTTTTTATTATTTTATTGCTTCCCTTCTACTTGACTTTACCGAAAAAACCAAGAATATGAATCCCTGCAGTCACGAAAGCTTTAAATAAAAAATAAAAAAACACGTTCTACTTAGACTTTTTGAGAAATGTTTTCTCCTACAACATCAGAGTGCAGCGCCACATTAAATACGCACTACAATGACAATAGTTTAAAGCGATTTGAAGCATGTTTTTTGGGGGGGGGGAGGGGCAGAGCTTTGTGACGTCATGTTTGAGGGGGGGGGGGTCTGACTTTTTGTGACGCCGTGTGACGAGGGGGGGGGGTAAAAAATCGTCAAAAATGGCGTGACGTCATTTATGGATGGCCCCTAGATAGAAACAAATTATAAAAGAAAAGAACCCGCGACGTTTCGGTCGCAACACAAGCATCCGTCTTCAGGTGAGAAAAAATTATCTGCTGTTGCCGGACGCTTGTGTTGCGACTGAAACAAACGTCCTGTTTTCTTTTCTTATTTTTTCTATCTACGTGACTTTACCGAAAGAACCAGAGAGTACAATATTCTTGAGGCTCAGTGAGGCTGTACTGGGTAAACAAAGGGCATACTATTATTAATATTATTACGACTTGTTGGAAATTATAAAACAAATTACCTCCCATAATGGAGCATTGAATCCGCACATCATAGAGGCAACAACTGGTTCTGTAATTAAAAACACTGCTGCTGCAAATCACAATTAGTTTTGAGACATCGCGCGGACTTGATAATGTCACCTTGTCACGACGTGTTGGCTCTGAGAGAGAGGACGACTCGGGGGCGTGCGGAGGAATCGCAAACAAGCGGGAAAGACAGCGGCCACGCGGTGAGACGGTGACAAAGTCTCTCCCCGCCCCCCTCCAAGCTCTGCAATCCTCTATGCATGAAGGTGTTATTGGCCAATTCGTGAGAATATACACGTGGGAGGAAACCGGAGCACCCGGAGAAAACCCACGTGTGCGAGGGGGTAACACTCAATCCCATAAGGATGGGCCAGAACTGAGTCCACACTTGCTGTACCGCCTTCCGGCAAGGCAGGGTACTACGGCACCTCGACACACGAGAAGGGAGTGCCAACATCATTTGTGTGTGACCAACCAACCCCCACCTCCAGTGCTGGATTACAGGCCACGTCGATAGCCACCACCGCACAGTGACAGTAATGTTGAGGACACATCTTGGCGAGAAGGGACGGTGGCCGACGGACGAGACTGGCGATGGCAGCCAAGAAGACGAGGGTCGAACACCGTGGAGACGGAGTGGAAGGATCAGCCCAGGTGCCAGAGCGCGACGAACCGCAGGACCCCGAGGTTTTGAGCGATGGCGGCAGCATCGGGATCCTTTCATCGGGGACGTGTGGATAGACCATCGATATTTAAGACACTTTTTAGATTGTCGGTATGGGACAACTCGCAAGAATTGCCCGTGACAGAGGCCCTGCGGCGTAAGATAGTCCACCTCACAGGAAGCCCTTGAGATCGAGGAAGGTGAGAAATGGACGGATAGCTCGGGCAAATGTTACAAGCAGAAACGATCGACAGCAAGAGACGCACACGGGGACGCCCGCACGTGGGCTACAGTGACATTTATTTTATTCTTGGGAACTCCTCGACGTACAAAGCTCGCGTCGTTTGCCGGAACAAAGGCTCAACCGTAACACGAGCGCATGCGCGTCACATCACGAGATAGTGGTCACGGAGATAAACAAATTTCACCGTTTCGTCAGGTTCTGGTTTTTCGTCCGCGCTTGCTGGGGCGGGCCTCGGCGATACCGCGGCGGCTCCGCTTCGTCCCGCGAGGCAGCCCGCTGCCGAGCCGCCTCGCCGGGCTCAAGGCACGCGGTGGCAGTGATGCATCCTCCAATAACGGAGCTGGCCAAAAAAACACCCCGATAATGGACCACAGAGTTTGGGCAATCGTGCCAGTTGTTCCGGCTGCCCTTCCTGTTTCGTCTGTGGTGTCTCACACCTCTCAATCATTTTCTCTCTCACTTCAAGAGCGATCGAAAACTAAATTATCATCACTATTATTATCACGACGCGACGCACGAGACCGTAACATGAAATCATTTTGCGTTGTCACGAAACATCACGGGTAAAGGCAAATACAGTAGAAGCAGAACACCGTTTTGTTTGTGCTGATGAGACCCAGGAGGCAGACACTGGCCCAGAGTTTGCTCTCCTCGACAAGAGCTGCTTTTGGTAATATTTGTCTGGAGAGCCAAACGTTCCCCTATGCGCTAAACCACAGCATCTTATTTATAACGTGGAAACAGGGCGGCGTTGCACTTATTTTCGTCGGTGTAAATCACCGGTGATGACAGCAACGATCCAAAAATCGGCAGAGTTCTCAAAAACCCAGGAAGGCTTCGGATGATTGACACATCCGTAAATTCCATGAATTGTCACAATTCAGGGTCGCGATGTGATGGACTAATATTTGTTTCCTGCGGGGTTTTCTGGTCTCATTTGTATTGTTTCTCCGTTCTGTTTTGTACTCTCATGCTCACCCCCATTAGCATACATGTAACAGCGTATCATTCAAATGTAACTCCCTAAATTGAGAACATAACATTCTTACGCATGCAATTTGGTGTCGCTATTTTCTAGTATTTACCCAGGAAAGCTGGACCCAGTCTCTTTTTTCAGGAGGGTCCTGATAAGTTTCTACAGTCGGGTGCGACGATGTCACTAGATGTTGTCCCAAATCAGTAAGCGCGTGCGTAATCTTTCACCCCGCTGGGCCTTACACACGGAGTGCTGTGAGCGAGCATCTATGACATCAACAAATCATTTGTACGCTCCATGTTCGTTCCACTCTCATAGTGCAAGGCCATCACGGCGGCAGTTCGCATTGAAGGGCGATGATCGCCGCGTGTAATAATTATTACACGTGATTATACACGCGATTATAATGTCAACCGAGTCGTAACTAATTTCGCAACGTGGGCCCGTGACTGCGGCACGCGATGACCTCGTCTTTTTTTAAATGACATCACCGGATCTCTCGCGTCCACCGCGTAAGCAGACGGTGCGGCGTAATTTTATGGGTAATATTGACACACACCCGCGGCATTAACCGGGGTGGCCGCAGGGTTCGAACCGCGGACCCCCTTGCAACAAGCGGCGAATGCACGAGGGAGGTATCGGGAATGGCCCCAGGCGATGGTTTCCAGCTGCGGCTACCTAGGGAAGGACCCAAGGACAGCTTCAGATACAAATCGCGGATGGGGTTGCTGGGCTCACAATGCTGTTACCGCCATAATCCGCCTATCCCCAGCTTATGCCGTGCATTGTACACAGTGGCAGCGCTAGGCATGAGCAAACCAAGCAAAAGCTGAGGGCCACAAGTAGCCGAAGGCAGCCCCCCTGAATTCGTGAAAAACGTGTGGAATATCAGCTGTAACTCAAATACTAATAAACATTACGAGATAATTATCGTTACAAAAAAACTGGAAATGTATCTCTCTGCTCATCTCACTACATCTCTGCATTGTCTACTTCCATCTCACTCCATCTCCAACTCTTGTCTAAATCTCTTCCATCATCCCACTTTGATATTATATTAATTGAAAGGGGGGGGGGGGTAGATATTATATCTGCTCGGGGCCCTCAAATTAAGCAGCACCACCACCTAGTGTACACATTGTAAATAAGTGCACACACAGAAACACAGATATACAGTGAATCTCTTATTTGTCATATCACTCGCACTCTCAATTATATGCCACCCAGGATCGATCCGTGGATCTTCCCAATATCCGCAAGTTCTAAGGCTCGTGGGGGTCAAGGCGCTTCGTGTGACGATACTGACGATGTGACTCGAGTTGCCACCTTCATCCACTGTAGACCAAACTCGGTCGGCACGAGGTCCGCCGTTATCAAATCTGCGCTGCAGCATCTTTGCAGTGAAGTTCAACACGGCAAACACCGGCACCAGGTCTCGGTACAAATCAAATGGTGCAGTCCCCTGACGCACAGATGTTCCCCGGACTGCGCGAGTCAAACCCCCCCCGGGACAGGTGGCAACTCCTTCGATGTAACAGACGATGCCGACAATGATGATGATGTTAGATGATGACGGTGATGATGATGTTAAGAGACGAGGGTCGTACATCCACGTGTACACGAGCCGACCTCTGATGAGATTGGGGCGCCGCTGCGTACGAATGGAACGTGCACGGGGAGTTGCATTTATTCATTTATTAATGTGCGGACCTCCACACTTGTGAAAGCAGTTTATATAAAATATAGAATTACGTACGGGTAAGATATGATTAGCTATAGAGTCGTGGTCAAAGCACACTAGCGACAGCAGGCAGCTCGCTCGCTCTCTCTGCAAAGTAATAATCATGCGTCGCCAAAGCAAATTAATTCAACACTACGTCGTAACTTTCTTTATTTAAAAGCACGCTTAGACCGCACTCTCTCTTACAAGTAAAGTACAAATCTACTAAACTCTTCATAGGTAACTCAGAGAATACAAATCATTTCAAAACTAACAAACTAAATACGCATCTTAATAATTTGTTTGTATGCTGCCGTATGAATGAATATATATACGTAGAGAACAACCGGCATCCGTCCATGTCGGTGTTTTACAAACTGAGCATCGATGCGAAGGCGCGTGCGTGTGCGTCTGTGCGCGTACGCGCTAGCAAACGAGAAGGCTTTGATTAAGACAAGTTCTAGGACTGGGTTTTAATGCGGCTACCGTCTGTCGGGGTGAAGTTGAACCCCGCTGCTGCTGCCGCCGCCTCCTTCGCTGGGAACGCTAGGGGAAGCGCCCACTCATCAATGAGGAAGTACCTCGTCCATTGACATGGAGAGCTTGGCACGCGCTGGCACACGCTCGGGGCCCGCACTGGCCGGCGCGATGCTCTCTTTGCCGAGGTCAGCTGTCGGAAGGCAGCTCAGGCTACCACGCAAAAAGATCACAACCCGGCTAACGGCTTTGCTTTGGCATCAGCAATTTTTATTCTCATTTATTATCGTCTCCTGCAAAGTTGTCGGCAGAAGGAGGCAAGGATTTCTACGGAGATTCCAACCGAATTGATTTGGGGCGTCCTTTTTCACGCAAATTTTGACCGGCACACCAATGGCTTACTCTTGCGATTTAAGTCACTTTAACTGTGAAGCGGATGTGGCACGTCGCATTTTTAAGGTGAACGCACACCGCAGTAACAACCAGGGCAGCTGCTGGCTTCGAACTGCGAATCTCTACAACGAGCGGCGATGCGATGAGAGGCAAAGGTTCACCTTCACAACCTGACAGATGTAGAAACACCCCCGCGCAAAGACCAGTCCTGAGAAAACTTTAAATCACAGCCCCGTGTCCTGTGTAGCGAGGACAGAGCGTGGAGGGCGCTCTCTGGAGACGCTCACGACGCGGTCCCGTGGGGATCGGAGGCGGCGTTGGCGCGGGGGCGCAGCGAGCCCCGTGCCGCACGACACCAGCAGAATAAACAATCCTCTGGCGAGCGGACGGCACGGACGGCACGATGGAGTCGGCCCGTGGCTCTCGCCGAAATATAAAAAAAAATCCCCCAAACAATGATAATGCACGGCGCGAATAACAATGGGGCTACGCGGTGAAAAGAGACGCGCGACGATTATCTCTGCGCTGGTAACATTAAGGCACCGTTTGCTTTGGGGAGTGAAGTTGTAAGAGGGCAGCCCAGCGGGGAGGTGAGGATAGTCGCTTGCTTGGCAACAAGCCTCTGCTTCTGTGGTTCGATACTTCGGCTGCGTGTGTGTCTGTGCGTGCGTGCGTGCATGTGTGTGCGTGTAATCGTATGAACGTTTAATAGTTATACTTGTGTGCGCGCGCACGTACAAACATACGCGTGCGTGCTTGTCGATGGACCAGTGTGACATGCAGAAGCCACGTCTGGCAGGAGTGTGCGGGCACGTGCGTGTGTAACCATACGGTGATAAACTTGTCTCTGCGTGCGTGCGTACCCGCGTGCATGTGACGTATGTATGTTGAACTCCTTTCGCACCGTACGTAGCCAACCGGGTGCGACACACCCATGTAAGTCGCCGGCCGCGTACGTGCGAGTGTGTGTGTAATCAAAGAGACAAAGCGTTACACTCGTCTCTATGTGTGTCTGTGTGGACACAGAGGTCCGTCACTCGCGTACGTACGCACGCGGGTGTGTGCGTGCGTGTGACATCACTTGCGCGCCAGATCCTCGGCCAGCTTCTTCAGACGTTTCTTCAGCTCCAGCGGGAACTTCTCGTAACATTTCTTGCAAACTGGCTTCATGTCAAACTCCACAAACTTGTTCCTGTTTGCCAGAGCCAAGCAGGGAGAAAAACAACCCATTCACGGTTAATGTCTTAACATATAAAAAATATAATCGTACACTCGTGACGATGATTGCGTAAATGCCTCAGTGACTCAAAGGTGCCATCGCATCTCAAATATTGAAAGGGCACCCCCAGTGGCAGCTGTCCCTGTGCGGCACAAGGTCGACTCGGCACCGGCCTCCAAGTGGGCGTTAGTCTACCAGAAAGGGTGGGGGGGGGGGGGCGATGACAGTGAAGTGAAATCCCCGTCGAGTCATTTGCAGCGTCATTTGACAAAAACATTTTTATTTACAAATCCTGACCACGACGCCGGCACACGATGGCCGACTCATCGCGAACTTCGTCAGCGTGGGGGGTGGGAGGGAGGTCTTTGACGTCCAACCTTGAAACGGAGAGCACGGAGTGATTTTATGGTGAATGCACCAGGACGGTGTTCAATGGACCCGGGTGGCTGCTGGATTCTAAACCGTGAGGCCGGTGCAGCGAGTCGGGGACAGCGCTCCCGCTGGGACCACGTCGTCAATTTGAGATGCCGTTTCTACTCTGACTCACAAACATGAGATCATTAAATAAACAACGCCCACCGGCCTTGTGAACAGGTTTTCAAAATCATGCGTGTAGTTGTGTTTAGAATAAACTCCGGTCAACGGAAAAATAATCGCAACAAATCACGCAGCATTGTTATTGGGCATGCAATGGAAGCCCCTATCCTTTGATTCTCTCTCACGCACGATGCAGTCCAATTGCACGTACAGGAATAAATTAATTTGTGTATGTGGCATTTTATTTCTTTTATAAGGAAGTCACTGGAGGTATGCACTTTTAAATCTAGATTTTAAACTCATTTCTTTAGAACTGATTTTTTTTTTAGTTTGTTGTTCTTTCCCCGCACCTCTGATTAGGATGGTTGGCTACGTACGGTGTGAAAGAAGTTTAACATACACACCTTAAACTAAACTGTAAGCCATTTCATTTTAACCAAGTAAAGGCCATTTCGCCAATGTCTCTTTTTCAGAGGTGAGACCTGCCCACACGTGACGATAGCTCATGGAAGTGGCTTATCACACGTGAGAATTTGTAGTAGCAGCCAAATCATCTAAACACAGCACGTTGTTTCTAAATGTGGAGGGGGTCCAAAATCGGTGGAAACCAGAGAAAGATTCACGCGACCTCCACGGGGAGAGAGAATATGGGGACTACAACAGGCATCGTCAGGGTCGGGGTCGAACCCACGACCTCCTGCATAGCAGGCGAGGGAGGTAACATTTCCTCGCCACCGTACTGGGTTAGCGTGCGGCCTGCAAGCCACTAAGGCGGCGCTTACACTCACCACCCCTTTAAAGAAACGGACTATTGAATCGAATCCCCCGATGCAAAAAATGTGACGGCACGTTGGAGCGCGAGCGGGGAGCATCTGTTCGCGGCTACGTCAACAAGCACGCGTGCCGACTTTCACGAACAATATTCACAGTTATTCGGGTCACGTTGTGCGAGTGAAACGTGTGTCGTACACCCTCCTTCACCCGACACGGCCAATTAACCCTTTCCCGTCATTGGTTTTTCTTCCGATTCAGTTCCGATCATGTCGTACGTCATCAAAACGGAACCGGAAGAAAAAAGAAATAAAATTACTTTGTTGGTACCGAGGCTCCCACAAGGCTTTGCGGGAGGGCGTGTGGCACAGTTTGGCGCTAGCTATCGCAGAGTGCGGTCGTGTCGCTACGGTTCTCTGCGGTGAGCACAACGTCTTTAAAAACAATGGTGATACGCCTCTCTAAATAAAATTAAGGCTAACCGCTTGCACGTTCCGAGATTCTGCGGTGAACGGGACACCCTGCAACTTGTAGATGTCTCTTAACGGGAAAGGGTTAATAAAACAAACGTGCGTTGGCACGTTTGTGTTCACGTGACAACTTAATTCAATTGTCCGTATCGGGTGGAAGAGATTGTACAACGTAGTCTACTTACACGATCATCTGACCCAAAATATGAATTGTGAATCAACAAACGTGCGCTTAGATCCTTTAATTTACTTTGGCAAACGTCTCAACGAATCTCCAACCTCGCTGAGATTGCGCGAGGTCACGTAGTGACGTTACATCTCATGGGGTTACTTAATCGTCTAGGTCAGACGACGACTCTCATCGTTTGTACGGAGAGAACGGTTCAGAACGCAGCTCAATGGAGCAACAGACATCCCTGTAATCCGTACGCAAAGCGGCAAGGCGAGTGTAAGCCAGTGTTAGGAATTGAGAAATCACAGACATTCTAATAACACGGCAAACAACACGTAAGGCCATGATGAAATGACCAAGCTGCCAGGCAACTATTATTGTTGTCTTGCTCGTTTAACCAGAACAGTCTCGCCGAGTCTCACGACTCCTTTTCAGGAGAGTCCTGCCAAGTTTTCGCAGGCGGAGGGAGCAGTGTTGCTCTGTGTGAAATCCCAACGGAGTAAAATGCAGAATTTTTTTGAGTATTTGCGATGTTTTTACCAATACCGGTTGGATTGGATCTGCGTTTTTTTTGTTAGCTATGGGAGTAAACCAGGCACCGTGGTGGTGAGATGTTAAATACCTCGCCTGGTATACAGGAGGCCATGGGTTCGGTCCCGACCCTGATGCCTGCTATATATTTGGAGTTTGCCTGTCTCGCTCCGTGGTCGTGTGGATTGTTCTCTGGGTCCTCCGGGTTTTCCCTCCACATTTGGAAACACGCGTTTAAGAGTATTTGGCTGCTCTAAATTTCCACGTGATAAGCCACTTCTCGTTGGGCTATCATTTGTGGTAGCCAGGTCGCTTCTGAAAGAGAGCTACACAGCTCAGTGGGCCTTACCTGGTAAAAAAAAAAGTTTTAAAAGTTTGAATAGTTTTAGTTTAGACCGGAGAACTCGAAGAAAACCCATGCCGAACAGGCGGAGAACACACAAACTGCACGGGGAATGACGCCCAAGATCGGGAGTATGAACAAAATTCCAAAATCCCCATTCGCCGCTGTTGACAATTGCCCGAGCTCAACGATCCTGCAAACTGGGATGCGTGGCCAACCCCACCGGGGAACGTTCGGCACGGAGGAGAAGCCGGCGAGAGCACGGCGATCGCTTTGCGCGAGGGGAAAGAGAGGGCCTGACAACTCGGTCGCCCATCGAGGTCGGCGCGAAGGAGCGAGCAAAGAGGTCACGCAAAGAGAGGTCACGCTAACAGATCGTGGCGGTGGCGGGGGGGGGGGGGGCCGGCAGGTCGGCGGAGGCCGAAGGTCGCAGAGCAGCCGGCCGCCGTCAGAGGCAGCCGTCGCGACGGCCCTTCTTCCTGCGGCGCTCCTTGCGCTCGCGCCGCGCCAGGCGGCCGCGCAGCTCCGACGGGAAGCGCTCGTGGCAGCGGCGGCACACGGGCTTGAGGTCGACCTCCACAAACTTGGTGCTGGGGCCGTGGAGTCGGCGCGGCCAATGGGTGGGGGAAGTGCGTGCGTGCGTGCGTGCGCGTGCGTGCGTTGTGACCGCGTCGTGTGAGCGTGCATTATAATGTGCGTGTGCGCGCTCGTGATAGAGCGTGTGCGCGCGAGTTCATGAGTGCGTGTGTGTGCAGAGTAGTGTCCGCATGTGTGCGTTTAATAACGCGTGTGTGCGTGCGTCAGCCGGCGAGTGAGCCGGCGAGGAATTAAGTGAGCAAGGGAGCGAGCGAGCCAGCGTACGGGCGAAAGAGAGAAAGAGCGAGAGGGAGGGAGGGAGCGAGCTGATGCTCGTGAGCAGCGCGGTTAGAGCGACGCGGTGCGTGGGGGGCGGCGGGGGGGGGGGGGGGGGGGCGGATTTGGGGGGGGGAAACGAGAACGGAAGACACAAGTGAGAAACGTGGCCGTGAAAACCGAGACAAAACGGCAGAGAGGAAACCGCGCACGCGGGAAACGGGGCCGGGGGGCGGGAGGTGGCGGCAGTCGTAGAAACAAAACAGTGGGAGAGATGCGAGGGGGGACGAGGCGCGGCGTGGCGAGCGCCGACGGGCCAAGCTCACCTGAGGGTGAGCTTGGCGTTGCAGGTGGAGCAAGAGAAGCAGCCCACGCACCAGGCCTTGTTGAGGGCCGACACGACTGCGGGGAGAGACGACACAGCGGTTACCGCGCCCATCGACAAACCCGCCCTCGATCGCCCGCGCGGACGAGCACGCGTGCAACCAGAGTTCGATCCCCGACCGCAGACAACATCAGCGGCGGAATATGTACAGGGACAGGACGCAGGAACTCTCCACGGGAGACCTGGGGTTACGCGAGGGTGAGTGGCAGATGGGGATGTGTGTGTGCATGGAGCGGTGGTGCAGTGGTTAGCGTGCTGCACTGTGAAGCCGGCAAGCCGAGTCTGATTCCCGCTCACTGCCAACATCGGTGAGGATTCGCTGAACCGGTCTCCCCCTGATGCAGGGTTTACACCCTGCATCAGGGGGAGACAGAGAGGGTTTACACCCTGCATCAGGGGGAGACAAAGGCGGCCGGGCTTGGTGCTGGCTATCCGCCTCCTTAAATGTGCCGTGTCGGCCTTCGTTAGGTGTTAATCGCAAACAGCACTTGCCCCAACAGACCGTTAGAGGCTATGCGGGGGATCTTAGTCTTTGTGGTGACCTCAACACGCAGTCGGAACGCACCTCCAATGAACACGGTTGGCTACGTACGACACTGCGAAAAAAATTCAACATACGCACAAGACAAAGATCCCCTGTATAACCGGAGCAAACTGTTGGGGCAAGTGCTGTTAGCGAGTACCTATGAAGGCTGGAACGGTACACGAGGAGGTGGATGGCCAGCATCACACCCGACCGTCTTTGTCTCCTCAGTGGCGATGTTTACACACTGCACCAGGTACTAATTTGAGGCCGAGTCGACCTAGGGGAGGCCCAGGACCGGTTCAAATAATCGTCACCGGTGTTGGCCGTGACCGGGAATCGAACTCGGGTCGCCGGGATCTTAGCGAAACGCGCTAACCGCTACACTACCACTCTCCACATACACACACATTTACAACAACAACCGCCATTCGCCTCTAAGTGGCGGTGACGTCACCACGACGCTTGTGCCAGGCCATGTACACACACACACACATACACTCACCCCCGCACCTCCGATCAGCACGGCTGTCGACGTACAAAGGTGCGGAAAAAGTTCACACACACGGTGATAAACGGAGAGGGCCCGACGGAGCCCGCGCTACTCACCATCTCCCTCGATCACCCGGTTGCACAGGTAGCAGACGTCGCCAAACAGCTGCGGAGAGACGGCGAGCATATTATATAAACGTAGAATGAAAATGTATTAACCGCGCGCGTAAAAAGAGCGTCGGACGATGCTGCTGCTGCTGCTGCTGCGGTGCAACGAGGCCGACCGGCAGCGCGCTCGCCGCTTGCTAACGAGGCTAGTGGTTGGAGGCACACGCCCGCCCTGGTTAATACTGCGGGGTTTTATCAACCGTGAACGTACGACGCGCCGTCCGCTTACCAGCGGACGTTGCGGATCCCCTGATGTTTATTCGGTAGACGGTAGAGCATTGTGTGCCGGTGTCGCAGCGGGAATTTTACCAAATTAAAATTTTTTACCGCAAATTACTCAACAGAGAACGCAACCGTCGGCAATGCGGCCCCCCTCTGCCGTCTAGAGTCTTAGAGATGCAGGGAATCTTTTGTGTGCTCTAATAATAATCATGTTAAATACATTATGCCATGAAATGACATGACGGTAAAATTGAAAAGTTGACATTTTAATTTATTCACTCGCATGACATCAGGACGGCCCGCGGTGAAATGCAGCCGCTCACGGCGGGCGAGCACAGCTGAGCAAACATTACAAATGAGAGGGAACAAAAAAAATGAGTAAATCGAGCGACTGTCGTGGACCCTCGCGAGATTTGGCGAGGCCTCCCCCCGCCTCAGTAAACGCGCCAACATCGTTGGCGCGTTGCTGGAACCGTTGGGACGTCGGGCGGACGTTCCATCATTACTAGGTGGGCGAGTAACCGCACGCAAAGGGAGAGCGGGCGGGCGGGCAGGCAAGCGAGCAGGTAAGCGGGCGGGCGGGCGGGCGAGCGGGCGAGCGGGCGAGCGGGCGAGCAGGCGGGCAAGCGGGCAGCCTCACCTGGTTGTAGTGGGTCTCGCAGTACGCCAGCCCCTTGCGCTCGTAGTGGCGATGTCCCAGGAACGGCTTCTCGCACTTGGCGCACACAAAGTGCTGCGGACACACCGACACGCCGGCACATCAGCACCACCGGCACCACCCGCATCACCGACACACCGGCACCACGACACATCAGCATCACCAACACCACCAGAGCAGCACTGGCACCACCGACACACTGGAACATCAGCATCACCGACACACCAGCACGCCGACACACCGGCACATCAGCATTACCGACAAACCACCATCACCGACACACCACCATCACCGACAAACCACCATCACCGACAAACCACCATCACCGACACACCAGCATCACAGACACTACCACGACATAGAACAAACGATGGTGAACGCGGAAATCCAACAGCCGCTTCCGGATGCGTCGCGACCTCGCCGTCAGCACAGCGTGGACCAACATTTTGGTGAAGGCAGGCAGCAGAGGCGTACGTGGGAGTCTAGAAGTGCAGTACAACAATGGGTTTTTGCTATGCTGTCCTCTCTGCTGCCCACCAAATATTCCCGCAGCAGCCCTATGACAACGGCGTGTTCACACAATGCGTTTTCGCTGTAAAACTCACACACTCATACCTCACTCTCTCACTCATTACACTTACCCACTCACACTCAAACAAAGAGAAAGATCCCCCCCGTATAGCTTTAACGGGCTGTAGGGGAAAGTGCTGTTAAGCGAGCACTTGTGAAGGCCGGAACGGCACACGGGGAGATGGGTGGCCAGCACCACGCCCGGTCGCCCTTGTCACCTCAGTGGCGATATTTACACACCGCACTAGGTACTCATTTGAGTCCGAGTCGACCTCGGGCAGGCTCAGGACCGGTTCAGATAAATCGTCACCGGTGTTGGCCGCGAGCATGCATCGAACTCGGGTCGCTGGGTCACCGCATCGCACGCTTTCAGATGCGCTTCTGCGGCCGTCTGGAACGCGCTTCCTTCCGATATTAGGAAGCTACTGGAGCTATGCACTTTTATGTCATCTCGATTGAAAACTAATTTCTTTAGAACTGCTCTTTGTGTTTAGTTTGTTGTCCTTCCCCTGCACTTCCAATTAACGCGGTTGGCTACATAAGGTGCGGAACAAGTTCCAACACACATAATAGGTAGCGCAGTGATGTGTTAACCGCTACCGTGCCCCACACACGCACACACACAGAGAACACGATACCTCCACGTGCCACTGCTTCCCCATGGCGTTGACGACGCGGCCTTCGATGGGGCGACGGCACGCGCCGCAGATGGGGATCCCCATCTTGTCATGGCAGGGCAGGCAGTAGAGCTCCCCCTTGAGCTCGCGTGCATCGGCCGTCAGCTCCTTGCTGCACGCACACACACACATGCACGCACAGGCACACAAAGATCCCCGCGTAGCCTTAAGTGCTGTTGGCAAGCAACTACGAAGGCTGGCACTGCGCACGAGGGGGTGGGTGGCCAGCACCACTCCCCGGCCTTTTTGTCTCCCCAGTAGCGATGTTTACACTCCGCACCAGGTACTAATTTGAGGCTGAGTCGACCTAGGGCAGGCACATGACCGGTTCAGATAATCGTCACCGGTGTTGGCCGTGAGCGCAAATCGAACTCGGGTCGCCGGATTCGCAGCGCAGAGCGCTTGACCGCCACGCCACCGCTCCCCACACGCGTACACGCACACACACCTGTGAACACAACACAGACCCTACAGGCCGATGAAGCCACGTACCCGCAGTTTGTGCAGTTGAAGTGGTCCGGGTGGTAGGGGTCGTTCTTGAAGAGCAATGGCTGCTCGTCGATGATTGCGTGGCACTTCTGGCAGATGTACTTGCCCAGGCCCTTGGCTTTCTCTCGGTTGTGGCACGGGCGGCACAGGTGTCTGTGGTGGGATGGGTCGTGCACGCACGCACGGATAAACACGAGTCAGACGTCACGTAGGTAAAAAAAATCAATAAAATAAAATAAATGAAAACTAAATTTATTTTATTTTATTGATTTTTTTACCTACGTGACTTTACCGAAAAAAACAAAGAGTATGAATCCTTGCAGTCACGAAAGCTTCAAATCTAGAACGAGTCAGACGCACTGCTTGGGCAAGTGCTGTTAGCGAGTAGCGCCTATGGCACGGCACACGACGGGGTGGCTGGCCAGCACCACACCCGTCCGCCTTTGTCTCCTCAGTGCCGATGGTTACACACCGCACCGGGTGCTCATTTAAACCCGAGATCACATAGGTTAGGCTAGGCCAGGATCGGTTCAGATATTATCTGTGAGCGAGCATCAAACTCAGGTCATCAGGTTCGTAGCGTAGCCCAATAACCGCTGCACTACTGCTCCCGTATCAACAACAACCGCCATTCGCCACTAAGTGGCGGTGATGTCACCACGGCGCTTGTGCCAAGCTATGTGCACTTTGAGGCCACGTGAATTATTGAAATATCGCTAGCAGGAGGTCACAGGACCGACCCAGGTGCCATGGGTAGACTGACTAAAATGACAACAACCGCGATTCGCCACTAAGTGGCGGTGACGTCACCACGACGCTTGTGCCAGGTCATGTGCACCTTGAGGCCACGTGAAGTGTCGAACGCCCGCTGCCAGGAGGTCACGGGGCAGACCCAAGTGCCACGGGTCGACTGACTGAGATGACTGAGATGACCGGCTGATGCACCACCTGTGCCCCCTACTGTGCCAACTTGCTGTGCTTTAGCCACCCGGCGCTCCGCTCGTTGTTGTGAGCGTTGCTCCTCCGCCCTCCATTGTTGTTGGAGGGCTACTGCCTCCAACTGCCCAGTAGCGTCCTTCACGAGCCTCCTCCACAGAGGCCGATCTTGACACCGCTGGTACCAGTCATCGGCAAGTCCACTCAGCTCCACGTCCTCCTGTACCACATCACTCCATCTCTTCTCTAGCCTGTGCCGTGCCCGTTTAGCCCCCTCGATCCGGCCGAACAAAAGCTGTTTAGGTATGCGGTGGCTGGGTATGCGGGCTACATGACTGGCATATACACACACGTGTACACACACAGGCAGGCACACACGCGTACACATACAGGCATGCGCGGTTTGGCGAGCATCGCCCCCTCACCTGCCAGCGTTCTTGACAAAGCCGACGTCCGCCAGCATCTCGCTGCAGATGTTGCAGCGGAAGCACTCGGGGTGCCAGCTGTTGTTCATCGCCTTGATGACCCGGCCGACGATGAACTCGCCTGGTTTGGGCGCACGGACGGACGGACGGACGGCGACACATGCAGTGCCCCACGGTCACGGTCGATGGGCAGGGGAACGGGGGGCGGGGGAATGGCGCGCAGGGGAACAACGGCCGGGCCCCGAAACAGTTGGAAAAGCATTGCGCACGTGCAACGCTCTGGGTCACATTTAAGCCAACGTGGCGGTCACGCATTCCCGTGGATTGTGAGCGCACCTCGGCGTGTTGTTATTCCCACATTGATCGTAGTGAGATTGAGTGGCCAAACAACCTCAGAATATCACATTTTGGATTGGATTTATTTGAAAAAAGTCTCAGCTCTGAGAATGTGCAAATGTAATTTTGACGGGCATTGAGGGCATGTGGGAAATCGCCGCGCCCTAGCGTGGCTAAGAGGTCACTTGAAGGAAACTCAAAACTAGATCTCTGATGTCCGCTTCTGTGGGCCGTTCTCTCATGGGGGGCGGTGCGCAGTTCCCTGCGAGACTTCTGGATGGAGACATCAGCTCACGCCACGACGCCACCGATGGAATCGGATTGGGAAAAAAAACGGCAAAACAACTTCGCGAAAGATCATGGGGCACGCACGTGCCCACGTGCGAGTATCGCGTGTGTGTGCATGTGTGTGCGTGTGTTTGTGTCTGCGAGTGTACTATGGAGGAAGCTCGTGAAGGATGCTGCTACTGGTCAGTTGAAGGCAGTTGCCCTCCAACAACAACTGAGGGCAGAGAAGTGACGCTCGCAACAACGAGCGGAGTGACGGGCGGCTAAAACGCAGCTAGTTGGCACAGTAGGGGGCACACCTGGTGTGCATCTGCCGGTCATCTCACTCGGTCGACCCACGGCACCTGCTGGGTCTGTCCCGTGACCTCCTGCCAGCAGTTCACTTCGTGGCCTTAAAGTGCACCTGGCCTGACACAGGCGCCGTGGTGACGTCACCACAACTTAGTGGTGAATGGTAGGAGTTGTTGTTGTACGTGTGCACATGTGTGCGCGCGTGCGTGCATGCGGGTGTGTGTGTACGTGTGCGTATGTGTGCACGTGTGCGTGCATGCGAGCACGTGTGTGTACATATGCGTGTTCGTGTGTATGTGCTTACTCACCACACTGCCCGCAACACGGAGCAAAGAGCATCTGGAAGTCGTGCTCGCAGTATTTCCTGCCTTCAAACTGAAATAAAGACACAGCGAGAATGACATGCTTCGCATCAATCACTTGGTACGAGTGGTCATCACGGTCGCGTCGTACCAGCGGTAGTCACGGTCGCGTGGAACTGGCGAGTCACAGTCACGTGGCACTGGTGAGCCATTGATCAGGTGAAGACGGTGAGCGGGTGAGCGGGTGCGCTGGTGAGCGAGTGAGCTGGTATACGGACAAGTCGGTGAGCGTGTGAGCAGGTGAGAGGGTGAGCTCGTGAGCGTGCATGCGAGCGGACGTGCAAGCAAAGTGCCGAGTAGTCACCTCATAGAAGAGTCCGTCGGGGAACTGCTGGAAGCACTGCGCGCACACGAAGCAGTTCTCATGGAATAGCTCCCCGTTGCTGTTCACGATCCGCTCGGTGGCGGCGAACCCGGCCTTGCAGCGTTCGCACGCCGCGTTCGCCAACGCCGACGCCATGTTACTGTAACACAGAGACAGAGACGACGCTCTACTGGATGTAGTACAACACTGTCGCCATGTTACTGTCAGACAGAGACAATGCGTGCAGTACACAGACCACGATTCTGTAGCCCTGCAAGCACCGTTGAGGCAGGTGCTGTTAGCAAGAGCCAGCACAGCGCACGAGGTGCCCGGTATACGTGCCAACGTTGGGCAAACGTTGGCACGTGGTTGGAACAAATTGGATGTTGGCCGAACGTTTTCTGGGTGGTGGTGGTGGGTGTGGCTAACACCATGCCTGGTCGCCTTGATCAAAGACACTTTAAGTATTAACTACGTTTTATTCAACCAGGTAAGGCCCATTGAGCTGTCTAGCTTTATTTCAAGAAGCGACCTGGCCACAAATGATGGCTCAAAGAAGTGGCCTATCACGTGGGCATTCATAGCAGTCAAATACTTTCAACTCGTGACGTTGATTCTAAATGTGGAGGGAAAAACCAGACGACCAAGAGAAAAATCCACGCGACCACGGGAAGAACACGCAAACTCCACATATACAGGCGTCAGGGTCAGGATCGAACCCACGACCACCTGCATACCGGGAGAGGTAGTGAACATCTCCTAGCCACCGTCGCGCCCAGACAGAAGACAAAGATACAGACAAACAACGATCCCCCCCATACAGCGTCAACAGCCGTTATCGTGCAGGCTATGAAGGCCGGCACGGCACACAAGGGGGTGGGTGGCCGTCGCGGAGACATGAAACTCGCCGGCTCGATAACCAATCGCTAAAAACAAGAGAGGCATTTTCCATTCACGTCAACACAGTGGTGCCCCCCCCCACCCCTCGCTCACCCGGCTAAGGCTGCAGGGGCACGAGTGCTGTCAGTGAGAACCTATTTATGGTCACGGGTACAGCTGACCCGCTCGCTCGCACCACCACGGTCACCCAGGCAGGGCGACAATCAGCAGAGGCACAGCCTCGTCCTCCGGTGTTCACAGCAGTCGCTCGCAGGGCAATCGCACTTGTATGTTCAGTTGGGAATTGTGTGTGTGTGTGTACGTACACACACACTAGTGTGTGTACCGTCTGTTAAGACTATACGGGGGATCTTTGTCGTGTATTGTCCGGATTAGAAGACACTGCGGAGAGTAAGACGCACCCCACATTTGTACCCAGTGTCAATAAAGTTGTACAATTCTGGTTACAAAGATCCCCCATGTTGCCTTAACAGACTGTGGGGGCAAGTGCTGTTAGCGAGCACCTATGAAGGCTGGCATGGCACACGAGGTGGGTGGCCAGCAATGCGCCTTTGTCTCTCCAGTGGTGATGTTTACACACCGCACCAGGTACTCATTAGAGGCCGAGTCGAGCTCGGCCTCTAATGAGTTGGCCACGAGCGGGAATCGAATTTGGGGTCTCCAGGTGCACAGTACGCTAACCACTAACCGCTACGCCACCGCTCCCCACAATTCTGGTCATTCGCACACACACACACATTCGCCTGCTGGGTTATAAGCCGCCCTCCCGATCTCTAGCTTTAAAACCCGGGATAAAGTGCGGAGACTGTGGTGACAGGCGGTGGTTGGGGCAATGGCCCTTCACAGCAGAGAGAGAGGAGTATGGTAGCACAGTTGTTAATTATAGAATGAAATATTATCCTCTGGGTGTGTACACATTCACGTGAGATTGCTCATCGGCTGTACTCGTGGCCTCAGCCTGTGTGTGCTCCGAACTAAACTCCACATTGACCAACTCCACAAACGCAAACTCCACAATTACAAAACTCCACAATCACCAACAACACAATCACCAACTCCACAATTACAAACCCTACAAACGCAAAGCAGACTTCCACGCCTTCACAGCGACACACAATAGGAGACCTCTGGCAAACGCCACCAAATTAGGGTGGACAGGAAGATGTCAGTACAGCCGTGGATTATTGATTCAATCTGTGTGCAGTTGAGAGTAAACCCTCCTCCATCTGTATGTTGAACTTCTTTCACATCATACATAGCCAACCGTGCTAATCAGAGGTGCGGGGGAAGGACAAACTAAACACAAAATTCAGTTGTAAAGAAATTAGTTTTTCATCTAAATGATTTGAAAGTGCATCGCTCCCAGCGGCTTCCGAATATTGGAAGTAAAAACGTTCCAGATGGCCGCAGAAGCGCATCTGAAAGCGTGCGATGCGGTGACCTAGGGGAGGCCCAGGACTGTTTCAGATAATTGTCACTGGCGTTGGCCGTGAGCAGGAATTGAACTCGGGTCGCCGGGTTCGCAGCGCGCTAACCACGACACCACACTCACCCACTCTCACCCCTGCACAAGAGGGAGAACATACAAACTCCACAAACGAAGATGCCCGAGTCAGGAATTCAACCTAGGGGGGTGCTTGCTGTGAGGCATAAGTGTTACCACCGTGCCAGGCCATTATCACATCGTTATTTACAAACTCTCTTTATTTTACCAGCTATGGCCCACCGAGCTATGTAGCTCTTTTTTCAGAAGTGACCTGGCTATCACAAATGATAGCTCAACGAAGTGGCTCGTCATCATCGCGTGGAAATGTACAGCAGCCGAATACTCGAAATGCGTGATGTCGATTTAAAACGTGGAGGGAAAAACCGGAGGACCCAAAGAAAAAGCCACACGACCACAGGGAGAGAGACACGCAAACTACAAATAGACGGCAGGCGTCGGTCAGGGTCGGGATCGAACCCACGACCTCCTGTATACAAGGCACGGTAGTCAACATCTCGCCACGGCGGCGAGATGTTGACTACCGTGGCCCGGAGCGCACAGCACCGCGGCGGCCGTGCCACGGCGGAGGCTGGGCGGGACTGCGGGGTTGGCGGCTCACAGTTTGGCGTAGAAGTCACAGAACTCCTTGTAGACGCGCACGTCGCTCTTACGGCGCTGCACGCGCGACCGGGCGACCTCCCTCGACTCGGGCGGCGTGGCCGGAGGCACCGCGCTCATCGGCGGGGCCGGGCCCTCGGCGAGCAGCACGGCCGTCTTCGGCACCACCCACGGCTCTTCCGTCTCGAACACGGCCTCCTGGTGCTCCGGGATGGCGGGAGGCCGGCCCGACGACGACTGGGAGCCGACCATCTTGGCAGGAACCTCCCCGAAATGTTTCGACGATCGCACTTTGATTTCACCGATCCGGACGTGGTGAAGCACCGTCGCGAGCGACACTATTATTATTGTTGTTATTATTATTTTAAAAAATTAGCTTTTTTCCTGTCTTCTCGGGCCGGGAGAAATGGACACGCAGATGATGTGCGGCGATGCACAAGCGGAACCCTGGCGACGCTTGGGAGGAGAGACTTCACATCCTCTCGTGCAACGGCGACTCTGAGCCAGCGAGAGAGCGAATGACCGCAGCGTCCTCGCTCGAGCTCCCAGCACGCCTCTCACCGCCCCCCTCCACCGGCCCCCAACGCGGGCCGCACGCCCTCCAACGGCCCCGGGAGCGCCGGTTCACGCGCTCCGCTATTCATAGCGGAGCGGTCACGACGACAGGTGTCTGGATCACGCCCTTGGGCTTTCCACGACGACGACGACGACGAAGAGGAGGAGGTGGGGAGTGGGGGCAGCGCGGCTTGGGGAGCGGGCGGCGCCGTACCACTGCCCAAATTATTTTTTGGGGAACTCCCCACGGTAGATTTACGAGGTGACACATTCCGAGATCGCCGGTGTCGCGTTTTCATGCGGGGGGCGGGGGGGGAGCCGGGGCCCCCCCTCGCCTGTCGGCAGCGTCGCCCGCGCCACTCGTCACGTCATCATCTCCACCCCCCCTCCCCCGAGCACCGTGGGCCAGCGCCAGCGGCCGTAGACGGCGAGGTGGAGGGGCCACCCGCAGTGACGTCAGCGCTGGCGTCGGCGCCGCCCACTACAAGCGCAGGCTTGTGCGCTCAGAGCCGTACGCTCCACAATATACCTTCTTATGCCCCGTCTATGCATAGGGGTGCGCTCGCGCGCGTTTTAAACTCCGGAAGGTGCATTAATGTGCGCGTGCGCGTGTTTGTGAGACCAGATTTTTATAACTTTACTGACCAAGTTTGGGGCGTGTCGTACTTTCCAGGTCGGCTTATAATCCCGGAGAATACGGTCATTAGTTTGTTCCATGAAGAAAGGTTTCCGCCGTCAGTCCGCGCCGACATAAATATTAAGAGGGGGGGGGGGGGAATGAAACTCACGTGAATCGTATCACTCCATAAGGGAGCGCTGAAACTCAAAATATGAGCAGGAAATGAAAGATTGAGGTCCTGTTTACTGCCCTCACATTGTGGTGGAAATTCTGCATTCCCACTGTAGGCTTCCCCACAACTTGGTACTTATTTTCTCGACCCCAGAGGGACGATGGGCCGAGCCAGCAATTGATCTGCATCGAGATCTGTGGTGCCGGTGTTGCCGCACCGAACCTCGTTGCGGGAGACTGCAGCGCATGCACATTGTGATAGCAAGGGAGTGAGGGCTGGCTGAGAAATACCTCCGGGGCTTCGGTCTACAGTGGAAAAAGGTGGCAACCACTGCACCACCACTGCCGCCACCACCACCCCATTTAACTCCCAGTGAGCGCAGCGACACCGCCGCCAATAATAACTCTGCCTCGCCTTGTAGGGGGACGTCAGGGCCAGGGGGGCCAGGGCAGGGAGGCCAGGGGAGAGCGGAGGGCCAGAGGAGGGAAAGGCCGGGCGATATTTAAGTCCCAGGCCGTTAAAACACGCGGTGGTTTGTTTTTTCTTCATGATGAGTTCGAAAAAATCAGCCCGACTTACGAAGAAGAAAACCACGACCCAAGTGGTTTCTTGGGCAAATGAGGCAGCGGTGTAAATTCTACATTCCCATGGCAGCAGCGAGCGTCTCCATCGGATTACCACCACTCTTGACTTGCTCACAAAGCGGTACTGGTTTTGTTGACCCCCCCCCGCCCCCCCCGAGGGCAGGAGTTGAACTCGCATCCCTTGCGACCGTGAGCCACTCACTCTCTCGGTGAGCCACCCGGCCAGGAAGAGACGTTTGCGACAATGGTTGTCGTTTCCACGGCAAACTTTCTGATCATCACCGTCCGTGACTGGATGGAATAAGTCACGTGTCGACTATTTCGACCTAAAACTCATTCCTGCGTGCATTTAATTCGACAACACCTACACAGGCTGGTCTGATGTAAGGAGCGTTCTTTGTACGAACTAGGCCCATTATATATATATTTTTAACCAAAAACGATTGCTCAGCGAGCACAGACCGATCGATCGACACGCGGCCCGTGGCGGCAGCGTCCCGCGGCGAATTCGTTCACCGGCTGCCCTGCGTGGCCCTGCACGCGTCGGGGTGCGTGCTCCCCCGCTCCCCCGCCACCCGCCAGGCGACGAACTTTCGTGAACAGTTCCACCTGCTGCTCGTCGCTACGCCGCGTCCGCCGTGAGCTGCCGCGCGACGAGGCCAGCGGTTGGGCCACGAGCGGAGAGAGAGAGGACCCGTTAAGGCTCGAGACGAAGTGAGGGGAACGAGGAAGGGGAAGACGCCCGTCCCAACTTTGACCCTACGTGAACTTGGCCGAAGCAAACAGAAAAAAAAATCGAAGGGCGGACGGACCGGCCCATCTAGGGCTCGGCACGACCGGAACCACGAACGTAGCGGTGAAGCGAATCGTGCGATGCGCGAGGCAATGTCGCGATACGTGAGGCGATGTCGCGATATGCGAGGCGATGTCGCGATACGCGAGGCGATGTCACGATACGTGAGGCGATGTCACGATACGTGAGGCGATGTCGCGATACGCGAGGCGATGTCGCGATACGTGAAGCGATGTCACGTTACGTGAGGCGATGTCACGATACGTGAGGCGATGTCACGATACGTGAGGCGATGTCACGTTACGTGAGGCGATGTCGCGATACGTGAGGCGATGTCACGATACGCGAGGCGATGTCACGATACGTGAGGCGATGTCACGATACGTGAGGCGATGTCACGATACGTGAGGCGATGTCGCGATACGTGAGGCGATGTCACGATACGTGAGGCGATGTCACGATACGTGAGGCGATGTCACGATACGTGAGGCGATGTCACGATACGTGAGGCGATGTCACGATACGTGAGGCGATGTCACGATACGTGAGGCGATGTCACGATACGCGAGGTGATGTCACGTTACGCGAGGCGATGTCACGATACGCGAGGTGATGTCATGTTACGTGAGGCGATGTCACGATAGGTGAGGCGATGTCATGTTACGCGAGGTGATGTCACGTTACGCGAGGTGATGTCGCGATACGTGAGGTGATGTCGCGATACGTGAGGCGATGTGACGATACGTGAGGCGATGTTGCGATACGTGAGGCGATGTCACGATACGTGAGGCGATGTTGCGATACGTGAGGCGATGTCACGATGCGTGAGGCGATGTCACGATACGCGAGGCGATGTCACGATACGTGAGGCGATGTCACGATACGTGAGGCGATGTCACGATACGTGAGGCGATGTCACGATACAATGAGCTGTGTCTTGAGAAACAGAGGCAAGTTTCAGAGTCCAGCGTCACAAGGTTGATCACCGCTTCTACCTCTGTAAGATCAATGCCACCAACAACCTCTACCTCCACCCGCTAACATCCTTCCCATCAACTCCTCTCAATCTCACAACACTACCATTCTGCTGTACAATTTGCAATTCTTTGTTCAGCACCTTGGTTGAGGCGCTATGAAAATTAATATAAGAACATATATCGTTCAAACAACAGCAATGCCATGCCCTTGCAAGCAAGGTGTTTCTTCATGTGTGGCAAGTGTTACATTTTATAGGTTAGATTACTTTATTGTAAAATGCTGTTTATTGTAAAATGCTGTGTATTGTTCAGGTTAGAACAGGTTGTTCAAGAGTGTGAACATTTTGAGGCCAAAACTTGTCTCGGCTGTTCACGTGTGAGGGAGTCGATGGGAAAACGACGATCGCTTAACGAGTTTACGATTACCGGAAAATATATATTATTGGGTCTTTAAAAATAAAAAATAAAATTATTTGAACTATTTCTTATTTTTATTATTTGATCTATCTACGTGGCTTTCCGAAAGACCCAAGAATATGAATTCCTGCAGTCACGAAAGCTTTAAGTAAAGATTTACCGAACATTGTTCGTGGAACGTATCTCACTTGTTAGCCAAGACAAGCCAGGCTGTGTTTGTGTATATACACTGGACGTTCCATATATGTGTTTACCTTGACCACAAGCGTGTGTACAATTTAGTCTGCATAGCTTTCCAAATTAAGTTTTATTCACGTCAGCATCGGTTGCTCGAAAAACAACAGCTCACCAGAATCTCAGGTCAGAACATTGTAAAAGCAACCAACCTTAACGTTCATTATGAAGACATTTAAATATGATATTATGATACTGTTGATGTTAACATAGATGACAACAAAGATGATGATGATGATGCCGACAAGATGAAGATGATGACAATGATGATATCGACATGATGAAGATGAGGAGCAGCACCCACCTCTGGGGAGTCACCATGGGTCCAGGCTCCTTGGGCCTCACCCAGCGACGTTGGTACAGAGCAGAGGACGCGAGGGGCTGGAGGTTCAGCCCTGCCATTTGGGTCAATCCTCAACTCGCTTCACCCCAACACCTCACCCCAACCTCACCTCACCGTCACCTCAGCTCACCCCTCCTTACAACACAACCTCGCCTCACCAGGCCCGCGTAGCGTGGGCTGGGAGAACGACGCCACCAAACCCAAGGTATTCCCTCCTTCACCGGAGGCCCACGACGACCATCGCAAAAAACCTCGACAGGGTCTTCCCGCTCGCGCGGTTCGTGTGACGCGCGCGTCGTTTCGGCTCGTGGGCCTGCACAATCTCCGCGTCCGAACCTCAGGACGACGAAACCCCCCAAGGGTTTACCACCTCTTTTCGTTAATTTTTTTGAAATATGAAAAAAAAGACAAAGCGCGCGTGTGTGAGAGAGGCTTAAGGGGAGAAACGGGGATGCAACACTTCGGCTAGAGATTCCTAGAAGCCGCTCTCACGCCCCCCCCCCCCCCCCCCCCTTCAGCCAACGCAGCCCTCGGACTCCCGGAGACCTGAGCAAAGTCGCCGAAAAATAATCCAAATTCCAGGCAACTCTCCTCAGACGGGACGGGCCGCGTCGGCGCGAGGGGAAGGCCGTGGCGCTCGCCGGCCCGGGGGGGGAGCGGCGGAGGCCGGAGGACTGCGGTTGAGACGGCACCGCCGGTGCCGCACGCTCTGAGTGGGGATCCTTGTCACTTTAATTGTCGGTCTTTAGCCTCCTCCTCCTCCGTGTCGGGGGCACGGGGGGGGGGGGGTCTGACTGCAG